TTTTTTCCCTTTGATTCTAAGGGGTGCACCCCTCCCTGGGTTAACTTTGTGCGCTGCACCCCTCCCTGAACAAATTCCTGAATCCGCCCCTGTCACAGACGTTGACGGACGGCGTGGGGCTTCACGGCTTCCCCCTCGAAAACCCATTAAGAAAAAAGAAAAACCTCTGGGAGCAGGGTATTGAAAAGCTTTCTCGTCTTTGCCTTGCTAAAGAGAAAAGCATTTATAGGAAAGTATTTATTCATTGCCCTCTTTCATCTTGCAGTAGGGAAAACACCTAGGAGCAGCCAAGCCAAGGCCGGCGCAAATACCCTAAAACTTCCAGGGTTCAAAGAGGTCGAATTGTCAGCTCGCAAAGTAACAAGCTTTCACCATTTGAATATGAGTGGTTCTCACCATGACATTGGTCAGACTAGAGGATCGCGCGCTAAAAGCGAAACAAACCTCGCTACCAACTTGACACATAGGGATCCTCTGTTGACACGTCGGCGAGAAACCCGATCACCGCAGCACCACAGCAAGGCTAGTGTACCTCGAATGGTCTTGTCAATGGAGGGCCTTGTGTCGTGCCCCTGTGAGGCGGATTTTGCTTCTAATGTATGTGATTTAGGAGAGCTCGAGTCGAGTGAAGATGACGTGGTAGTGAGTGCAGATGCTAAGAAGGTGGAAGTGAAGGAGGACGAGGAGGAAGAAGAAGAGGGAGAAGAAGCTGATGACAAATCGAAACTAACTAGGATTAGTCCCAGGATGCGTGACGAGAAGAAGGGATTAGGGCGGACAACGACTGTTGAACGAGCACAAACAGGACGGGTAGGCATCTTTATATCATTTAAAATATGTTCGTCTCTCTCTTTGGATTGGTCGAAAGATAACATCCGTTATATTCTCTAAGGATATTTCTTAGTCAAAAGACAAAGATGTCATGTGGCTATGTTGATGGTCAGTATTAACAGTGTTATGGGAGAAATCCTTTGTTAAATAGACCCCATGCATATGACATCAAAGCTGCTCAGCTTGGAGGACAAAACAAAAGAATTTCAATTTTATAAGAATTGAAAACCTATTGTTATGTCTTCCAAATTAAGCTGCATTTCGACGTGCTGCAAGGGGTCTATACCACCAACATGGCCGCCATCACGTAACGTGCAAACGAGATATAGGTAGGCGTATGATGACATAATAGGCCCTTTGCAGTTAACGGTCACGTGTCTGTACTGGTGATCAAAATGTTGGTTTTTATATTAAATTGGTGATTCTTTTTAGCTACTTGTAAAGAACTGAATGAAACGATGTGTAACCAGTGTGTCACAAAATGCAGTTTTATTACGATCTCTCGAAACAGGTTGTAGAAAGTTTGTTTGCTCACCAGTATATTTCACCCATGGGAATCAAGATGTTCATTTATTTGCTCTCAGTGAATTAATCAGCACGTGATTACTGAGCCCCAAAGGGCCTATTATTTGCGGTTGATTGTTACTTAATTTGCCAAACAGAAATCAATTGGACAATCCAACAATGCAGTGACAAAAACCGGTTGGCACGATAATCATAATTTCACAATAGCAATATATATAAACACTGCTTACACCTCACTATAACTTTGTTGTACCAATCTTTTTCAGGTCAAATGTTCTGACGTCCAGGCGTACTCCAAGGCTTTTGGCTTGGTCCTTTTCTTGGTCTGTCTGTTCCTTATTTTCATTTCCGAGGCTTTCATTGTATCATCTCGTATCTGGCTAGCCGACTGGAGCACGGCCAACATCACGACTACTAATACTCGAGACATGTACATTGGCGTGTACGGTGGCTTAGGGCTGAGCCAGGCTGTTGCTCTGCTATTAGGAGGATTCCTTCTTTCAAACGGTGCCACCAGAGCATCTCGTGGACTCCACAACCATCTTCTTCTAAACGTTCTACGTTCACCAATGTCATTTTTCGAGACCACCCCCCTGGGGAGGATTGTTAACCGGTTTTCAAAGGACACGTACATGATTGATGATGGTATACCGCGGACACTGATGATGTTTTTTCGAATGTGTCTCGGCGTTGTTGGTACTATCTTTGTCATTAGTTACTCCACACCTCTATTCCTGGCCTGTGTGGTTCCTCTTCTAGGTCTCTACATTTTTGTTCAGGTAAGTACTTTTAATTGGACTAATTAAGGAAAGCACGYAGATGTTGAGCGTTGGTAATGCGCTGCCTCTCTCCACTGTTTCCATGGTTTCGATTCCAGACTCGCCATCATGTGAGTAGAGTATCTTGCTGGTTCTCTTATGTCACGGCTTCGATGGTTTTTCTCCAGGATCTCTGGTTTTCTTCCCCCCACAAAATTCAACTTCTAAATTCCAAATCTATCATGGAATGAGCGCCAATCAAGACGACGATTTCTAAAGACATTACTATCTATTATTACCCAGCTACTCTCATCCCCCTCCCCCCCAACGAAAAATATCCAACATCTTCCAATATTTTCATATTGCCTGATTTGATGTGTTGTTCTCACCCTTGCCACGAGGGTTTTCTCCGGGTTCTCCGGTTTCCTGCCTCCGTAAAAATCAACATGTGAGTTGAGCGTTGTATGTAGTAAATATAGAATGTAGTGGTAGTGCATTTGGAGGGAACCTCGGGAAAGAGCCCCGAGCGGGAGTGGTGGTTGTAAAATATAAGTTTTTTATATAAGTTTTTGTCACCTAGGTAATATTCTAGTATTAACTTGTCGTTACGATGGAGAGTAGGTGCCTGGCAAAGCGGTAGGCGATGGCAACTAGCTGGCAAGAGGTAACCATGGCAACCAAGCCACGGGTCAACCTCGGCACCTGTCACACTGCTTACACAGTGGAAGTAAACTACTTACCTTGTCCAACCAGAGGAGGGTGGGCGGGGCAAAAYCGCGATATGAAGGCAATGGCTAACAGCAACTCAGCTACAGCAACCACGAGGCCTTAGGCAGTAACTGCGCATGCGCAAGTCTCACACCGCTGGCCAGCACTCCACTCCCAGTTAACTTGCTTAAATTTAACCACATTTTCTTTTTTTTAGCTTCCAAACGTCAGTGCATTTGCAAACGCTTTTACATAGTGTTTTTTTTTTTACATCTTGTTCGTTAGCGAGTATATATTGGATCCTCTCGTCAGCTACGCAGAATCGAGTCTGTGACCCGTTCCCCTGTCTACGGTCATTTCTTTGAGACCATCACTGGAACCAATGTGATACGAGCGTATGCCCAACAGAAGCGATTCCTATTGGATCACCACTACAAAGTGGATGCGACACACATGGCTAATTATCCTTATATTTGCTCCAATAGGTAAGTCTTAAATACTTATGTCAGCGAGCTTTGATCTGTTGTTTGGTCATATCTAAAGCAAGCTCCAGCTAGCATATTCATCATCGTCATCGTCACCATCAGCATCATCACCGTCAGCATCACCATCAGCCAAGCATCACCACCATCATCATCATCATCACCATCATTATCATTCTCACCATCATCATCATCACCCTCACCATCATCATCATTATCATCATCATCCTCACCATCATTATCATCATCCTCATCATCATCATTATCGTCAGCATCATCATTATCGTCACCATCATTATCATCATCCTCAGCATCTTCTTCACAATCATCACCATTATCATAATCATCATCATCATCATCATCACCACTACACAATTATCAACATCATTTTTTGGTTTGCCATACAACCCCTGTTCCATGTGAGCTAAACTTTAGTCCACTAAAACGTCATGCTGTTCTTTAGATGGTTAGGTCTTCGATTAGAGTTCATAGGTGCACTCATTCTCCTATTCGCTGCCTTATTCGCTGTCCTATACCGTGATTCTCTTCCAGCTGGTCTGGTTGGGCTTTCCGTAGCCATCGCATTGCAGGTAAGAATATTGCCTTTTTATACCGTCTTAACACTGATATAGGATTTAGCAGACCAAATTTGGGAACGTTGAAAGAAACTCTCCGCGTTAGAACCCCCCCCGTTTTCAAAAAGCATCAAGAGACATTGAGTTTTACCCCTCCCTTCTCTGGGAGGGGAGGGGTGGGTGGGTGAGATGCTTTTCCTTGGAAAAATCTTTCGAGACCGTCATACCAATTTAAATGATTTTGAATGGAAAAGCTAAATAATAAGCTCTTTTTTTAATCTTAGGAAAAATAGTCCCAAACTTTTTTATATCTATTTGAAGAAGTTTATCTTTTCTACAGATTACTGGAGTTTTAACGTGGTTGGTTCGGATGTCCAGTGAATTGGAAACGAATATTGTTGCTGTAGAACGAGTCAAGGAATACTCCCAGACCCCGACCGAGGTAATCCCGTATATATTATTGAGATATTCTTCTGGGCCAGGTTGTTCGTAGGGTGAATAGCGCTATCCAACGGATAAATCCTTATCCAGTGCATTAGTAGATCAGTGCTGTTATCCAATAATTTTTTCCACTGGATAAGATTTTTCCTTCGTACAACCATGCAGATCCTGTATTCTATTGACGTCTGTTATAAACATAAACGCTTGAAAATACCGCTACAACATATTTAAATCTAGTTACAGATAGATAGAAGTTTTGCAGAAAGAACACGTCACGGATACCTTCCCAAGTTTGTCTTACCAGCATACGTTATTGTTATTTTAGGCACCCTGGATCATCCCTGGTTACCGTCCACCTTTAGAATGGCCTCAAGAAGGAAATATTGATGTAGATGGTCTAGGACTGAGATACAGAAATGGTCAACCTTTTGTACTGCACAATGTATCTTGTCAAATAGATGGTGGAGAAAAGGTAAGAAAAACCCCTAGCTTCTGCGGTTCAAATCAGTGATGCAAAGTACAAACACGAACACTAAGGAAACAAGGAACATTCGAATATTTTGCTCGAGTGAATGTGTGCGAGCGCCCCTCGTTGCTGCTGCATGGGTAGAGGTATAAGAACAATACATGAGAAGTGCCATTGCACAACCAGACGTCGAATCTAACAGCCTGCTTTATGAGATCCCTTGTCCAACCACACCAGCCAAAATGTCATCACGCACCCAGTTATTGAAGTCGAACCGCCGGCTTTACCAGAGTCCTCATTGATGCAATATTAATCTATATTCTTTCAGGTCGGTATCGTTGGGCGTACGGGTGCTGGTAAATCTACATTGTCTATGGCACTGTTTCGTATTCTTGAATGCAACATGGGGAAAATCATTATCGATAACATCGACATATCCAAGATTGGTTTACATGATCTGCGCACGCGTATCACCATCATACCACAGGTATGTTCATGCTTTTATAGTTTTTTTTAGTCGACGTTCAATTTATTTGTCATCTTGTCCGATGAAAGCKTGGCAAGGTGACATCAAAGCAGGACGACTCGGTCTTTTTCACTAAGTCTTTTGTTTCCTTTTTTAACGGGACACCAAAAACAAGTGAATTAGCCCAGTATAAGTAGTTTTCACCATACCTTCGTGTAAACGTCCATGACACGACGCAACACTGAAGTGGCTTCCCTCAAAAATCGTTATCGTATGATTGGGAAATGTACCGTACTGACTTACGGCACGTACACAGTACGACATGCCGTAACATTGAAATGGTTTCTCATAAGAATTGGTTATCGCATGAGTGGGAAACGTACGGTAGATACCTTCACATAGAATTAGATTCACTTCATGTTCACGTTAATATGCAATCAACCCGCCGCAGTTAAATATACGGTTACGGTAAACCTGCTTTATCGTTTCCCGTCCATACGGAGTCCTCGAGATCAAATTTCGTACAGAGAAAGTCGTGGCGCAATGCGCGGTCACGATACGGCCTTGGGCCAATCACAGTGCACTAAATCATTACTGGTCCAATCAGAATGCAGGAACACGGCATGGTCTCGTTATGGTATGTAAATGACTTTTTAACTATGATTTTTTTCAGGATCCTATTTTGTTCTCTGGCACAATTCGCATGAATCTTGATCCTTTCAACCATCATGATGATGAAGAGCTGTGGCGTGTACTAGAGGTTGTCCATCTTAAGTCGTACGTATCTGGGCTGCAGGATGGGCTGCAATACACAGTACAAGAAGGTGGAGATAACCTAAGGTAAGTGAAAAATTCAAAACATTCATTTGTCCTTGTTAAAGCTGTGGCCCCTGCTCAATACACAGGGGAAAAAACAGATTCCCAAATTGGGAATTTTCTTGAATTCCCAACGAATTCCCATCCAATTCCCAGAGAGAACGAAATTGGAAACATGGCACTGATTCCCAATGTTAGTTTGTTGGGAATTTTGTTTTTCTATTGGGTATTAGAAGGAAATTCCCAACAATAAATCCCAACGTTGGTGTTCAAATTGGGAATTCAAGGAAATTCCCAACAATTCCCAATTTGGGAACCCGTTTTTTTTCCCTGTGATAATTGACCTGAAATATGACATTTTTTACTCGGGGAAAGACTATTATCTAAAATGTTAGCATAGTTATAAACTTTTTTACATGGTTTTTAAGATTCCTTTTTACTTACTTGTTGCCTTCAATAAACCAAAGCAGTCCAAAAAATTAATGTAATTTTCATAAACATGCGAACTTTGTGTCAACAAGCTGCACGCTGAAATTTGGTTTTTCGCTGCCGCCAGGTATGAACGTGAAAGGTACCAACTGATTGCGCTTGATTGACGGATAGTCATTATCAGTCTATGGAATTTGAATATATTGATTATTGTTGGGGTGGGGGTATACCCAGAGAAACTCTTGATGCACTTGAAGAAACAAAGAAATAACTGAATGGATAAATCGTTATGCAATAAAATTATCCACTGGATGAGATTTTACGGTCAAATAGCACTATCCACCATTAGGCCCAGACCAGTAACACTTTGTACAAAACACGCTAGTGTTTTTTTTTTGTTATCAGTGTTGGTCAGTGTCAGCTTGTTTGCCTTGCCCGTGCACTCCTCCGAAAGAGCAAGATTCTTGTTCTTGATGAAGCAACAGCTGCCATTGACATGGAGACAGATGAACTAATCCAACAAACCATACGGACAGAATTTGCTGATCAGACAGTACTTACTATTGCACATCGACTCAACACAATTATGGATTATGACAGGTATGTTTTTATGTTTTAATAGCCATATTAAACTTGTGTCTTTTGTGAACAGTTTAGACTATTCTAGCTGCCGAGCTCTCATTGATCAAGGGCAATTGATAAATCCAACATATTTCATCATCATCATCATTGTCATTCTCGGCCATTAGAATCATTGGCCTATAACAACTGCCAAGTACCCTCAAAAGTGGGAAGTTCCCCTCTACCTTTATTAATTATGTACTCATGATTCATTTCATTAATGATAGTCTATTGCCCTTTAGCTGTTGCAACTTTTTTCTTGATCAGCAAGTAGCAATGTATAAAAGTTGGATGATACTTGAAAGTTGAGGGGACATTAGCAAAAAGTAACGTGGCTGAAGCCATTTACCTCTTGCAACTTGTGTCTTGATCAGCAAGTAGCAATGAATATTAGTTGTAAGTAGGAAGGCTACCCCCCCCCCCCTCCACAACCCAACGCCTCTCCCTCTTTGCAGGGATGACTTATAATTTCTATCTTCCTTAGAATAATGGTTCTAGAACATGGATCAGTAGTTGAATTTGACACCCCAGCTGCACTGTTAACAAGAAAGAAAGTCTTCTATGACATGGCTAAAGATGCAGGCCTTACATTATAAATTCTCAGTATACCTCTGAATGTGTTCTTTGTGATTGTGGACCAGATTTCATGGCTGAGAAAAATCATATCAGAAGCTTTTTTTAACCAACATAGGCTGAATCAGTCTTAAAGCAATGAATGACAGTTTATCCATTTCGCTTCACATATCATACTATGTCAAAAATCATAAGAAATCTGTCCTACACAATAATCCATTCAATGAAACTGCTTAATAACATTGAATTAAAAAAGTCATTAATAATTAATGAAGGAAACACAATAGAAATCATGACCATGAAGGAGGTTTTATATCTGATATAGAATCGTCTTCATTTGCATAAACTTTAACTTGGATTTTCACTATCAAACCTGGTTCATTTCGTAAAGAATTCGGTACAATATGAGAACTTACATCATGAGTTTTTTTAAGCGTTTAATAAACTCGCAGATCGTGTTTTATTGGGTCTTAAACCACTCGGCTGCGCCTCATGTTTTATACCCGATAAAACACTCCTGCTCTTTTATTAAACAGTACATAAAGATGGATAGTGACAATATGTCCTTTTATTTGGGGCAACAAGACGTGCATTATTTTTATGGTAGCATGAGGCTATTGTAGAACATCTTGACTTTTGTACGCACTTTTGTAGAACATCTTGACTTTCGTACACACTTTTGTAGAACATCTGGACTTTTGTACACAGATTGAAGACTGTCTAGAGTATTAAATTACACATTATACCAAAATTGTTTCAATCATTATGCAAATATTTTTTAAAGAAAACTTTGCACATAATTATCGGAATTATTGCTAGTTAGTTACTGAATTTTTAAAGAAGTGAAAATTTCCTATTTTTTTATAAAAATGTAGAAATTAAATTAAATTATTTCTAAAATTTTTTAACTTGTGCGTCATAGATTATAGATATAGGTATAGATTATTTCAAACAAACTTAGAGCTAAGGTCAGACTTCACACAAATGTAACCTAATGACATACCATATTTTCTCGTTCAAGCACCGTGGCGCTCCTTAAATGTTTTGGGTTTCTTTGGGGGCAGTGCTCGTTAATAATTTTGGTCTTAGGTGCAGTGCTTAATTTATTAATGGTGGCGTTTAAATGTGGGCAGCGCTTAAACAAGTAAATATGGTATAAGAGGACCACCTTATTATTCATTTTTTTGATTGTACAGCTCATGTGAAGTTCAATGTTTGACCTTAGATCTAAATACAATTTCTAAAAAATACAAGAAAATTACTCAGGTTAGTTCAAATTTTATTACACTTTAAAGTTATGTACAAAAACAAAAGATACGGTCACTTCATTTACACTTTGGTATTCTAAGATTTAAGAATCTCACTATTATTTTATAATACTCACTACTACTTAGAATGAATAAGAGCACACAAAAAAAAGGGGGAAAATAAATGTTGGGGATTATAAATTTTGTAGATTAAAAAATTTTTGGAATATGACTGCTATGCTGAGCTACCTCTTATGATGAAACTATGCACGTAATAATTTTGTTAAAATATTATCACATTTGAAAATATATGTAGTGAATTACATAATATATGTACTTTACAGATAAATAAATACAATAGTTACAGAGATAAAATATATGGGATTTACTATCTATGCCTTGGAGTCCCCTTATTCACTATCTATATCTGTGTACCTTATTTGTACTATTGACACCTAAGTGTATCTTTACATACCATGTAGTCATTCAAAAGCATTGCTAACTGGCATCACTCACCTCAAGCCTATAAAGCTGCGTTCATAACGTATGGCAGAGGGGGGGGCAGGTGAAATTGAGGGGGGATCGGGAAAATTTTGGTAGGAAAAAGGGGGGATGGGTAAAATTTTAATCAGAAAAATGGGGGGATGCACAATTTTTGGGAGAAGCTACAAGCCTTGCTTAGGGGGAATTGTATTTTTTTGCATGACTTTAAGGGGGGGTGTTAAGAATTATTGTGGACATTTCAAATTTTCACCTGCACCCTACCCTCTGCCATACATTATGAATGCAGCCTAAGTAATGGGATTGAAAAGGGCTACTCTAATCCTAGGGCATATTTTATTGAATAGACCCCTTGCATGTGACGTCAAAGGAGCTCAATTTTCAGGACAAAACAAAAGAAACATTATCAWTCTCCTGAGAATTGGGAACCTTATCGTTTTGCGCTCCAAATTGAGCTGCATTCCGAAGTCCTGTGAGGGAGCTATAATTATGCAGTTAACCACTTCAACGATTTCTACCCACACTGCCTTTCATTCTTTCATTTCATTCTCGTTAGCTTGAGCCAGACAATGACATTCTTTTAATTAACTGTACCTTATCTACCTATATTGACTATATACACATATCCTTCTTAACCCCATTCATTACCTCACATGCATGCTCGTAACAACTTGGAACCACACTCAAACTGATAATGGAGTACAACTTTGATCTACTTGTGTCTCTGTCGCCTCCATTACTAACTTACTCAGCTCTGCGGCACTGTATCCAAGCAGGTTTTTCAGGTTACACACAAACTTATAGACAAACCGTTTCCCGTGTACTTTATGGATCATGTCTCCATCATAGTAGTACCTTAATGCTCGGCTTAATTTCTCGTAATTCATAGCAGGCTTGTTCTTTCTCTTGCCCCATAGTTGAGCTACTTGTTCTGGGTCATTGAGTTTGAATTCTCCTTCTTCTCCCACCCACATGATAAGGTGTCGACAGGACTTGTCTGTCAGAAGCTCAAGGAGAAACTGCCATAACTGGATTTGTCCATTGTTACCTACAACGAATACAGCCAATCAGTCAAGACGATTGATTAATACAGCCAATCAGTCAAGACCATTGATTAATACAGCCAATCAGTCAAGACCATTGATTAATCAGTCATTTTATTTATCAGTTCATTTCATTAAGTGACGTAAGTTTTGTCAATGAAGCCGATCTTATCAGGGCTTTCAGAATGTTTTAGACTAGGTAGTCATAAGTCCTAAGTTGCTGGCTGTGATCCAATACAAGGAACAGGATGGTATTTTTATAGAAAAGAAAAAGTAGCTGGCAGTCAATTAAGAAGCAATCTCCACAGCGGCTGGCTGCTTATTCTGTAAACCCTGTCTCATACATTTTCTTTCTTTTTAATATTCCATCAGTGTCATTGATACGGAAGGAATTTTGTTTTAAGTTATATTTACCTGATCTGTTGCCTGGGGTCTTGCCATCAATGGTTCTTGTCTTTGTTTCATCTTCTTCACCACTTGTTTCTGATTAATCATTCAATATAAAATTTGAGTAAAATACTTTCAAATTTAATCAAGATACCCTTAAACAATCTCTGGTCTGATCAATTTTAGGGCACAGTTAACTTACAGATTGAACTTGAATTTAACATGTTTTTGTGGGAGGAAGAAACTGAAGTTCACTTCAGAGAAAAACCCTTGAAACAAGGTAGAGACCTAGCAAACTCTGCCCACCCTTTATTCCCATTAAGTAAAAAATCATAAATCATCGATCGCTATAATGTTCTTGTTGTGGTGGTGGGGTATAGGCTGTCATAGGATGGGGGATGCAAAGGAAGAACCACGATAATTAAAAATTTTTCACCACCTACCTTCATTTTTAACAGAAATAGCATTCTCAACACCTAGAAACACAAACGAAATCATAATAAATGATTTATTTGTTAAAGATTCACTTTCTTATTTTTTACAAATTTCATTGATCAATGAAAAAAAAGTACAAATGAAGTGAAAATAAGATTGCATCATACTCACCATTTTTGATGACTGAGATTTGCTGGTTTGCGCTGTCAGTGGATAGAGCAACAGCTGGCTTTATTAGACCTAAAAGATAATTAAGTTTTACCTATAAATGTTCTACTCATAGACTCTACATACTAATGTTAAATACAGGGGCGGCGGAAGCTAAAAATCTTTGGGGGGCCACTGCAAAAATCTTTGGGGGGCACTGAAGATTATATTTAACGCTATGTGATAATGGCAATGTTTTGTTTGATTGCAGACGCATGCGCCATAAAACAATGACTAAGAACCAATGTTTTTTGGGGGGGCCAGGCCCCCCAAAAAAATTTGGTGGGGGGGCATGTGCCCCTGAAATATTGTTTCGAGTGGTATATTACAAATGTGCTATGGAATTTCCACAAGTCACTTGTACTTTCTAGTACAGGGCTTAAAATAATGGTCAGTCAGTCACTGGTCATCACAGGCCAAATTAGTTTTAGCTTAGTCATACCTCATTTATCGCTCAACGTTACTGGTCAAAATGACCAGTAAGGCAAAAATTTGACCAGAAAGTCCTAGTTTTGATCAGACATTAACATTATAAATCCGACATTGTATCCACACAAATCATCTTGCCAATGACAAGTGGGATATTCCATAATGTACCACAAGAAAGCATTTTTAACTGTGCTATCCCATGTCACTGAAAATACCCAGACTGCAATGCCTGATGAATTCATCTTTCTTGTATTTCAGTTGGCTGTATTTTCAATGGTGTTGTATAAACACACTGATAATAAGCCAGGATACACCACAAGCCTCACAACAATGATAAAACAAGGGTTTGATGCATACAAAGAAAACTAAGGGAGTAACAAATACCATCCTTTGTTATACCAATACACACTTACCAATGCTAGTAGTTGCACAGCTAATAACAGGAACTTGTTGGGGCGTTAGAGGGGATATTGGAGACTTGGGGCTGGCTGGAAGATAAAAAAAACAAAGATTAATCAAAAAATACATATTAATATCCCTATCATTATACAACATTCAGCATTAGTTACTAAAATGATAGTATTATAGCTAAATAGCTGTATTATACCTCTTGTAGTTTTGTAGTCAATTTTTGAGTTTCACCAGTTAATTTTTTTTGGATTAAAAACCCGACCAGATATCTTTGGCTGTGTTGATTGCACATTTATTGCAAATGGGTCAAACACATAATCATAAGACACTAAATGGTTTGCAAATTTAATTGGTTTTTAAAGACTCTCAATTGGCTTGCAAAGACTCTCAATCAGCTTGCAAAGAAAGCAGAGAATGGAGAGTTTGAATTTTCTCATCTTTTGCTTGGTTTCAGGGATGGCAGAAATATAAGAAAAAATCATGCATTTTTATGCAAGATTGAACCAAAAACTACATCATTCTGATTCAAAAACTTTATTTATTCCAACTAGACCCACTTCACTCTGGCTTTGTAAATACTGTTGGCACCCACAAAAAAGTCCAGAATGAGATAAAATTAAAAATCCCTTAGTACCTTTATTAGATGTGTTGGATCTTCTTCTTTTCTTAGGAATCACTTCTGGCTCTAAGTACACCACATTCTTTTGTTCAACAAGGTCGGGTGTGACTACCTCCAGCAATGGTATGGTGTTTTCTAGGGAAAAAAATACCACAATGAGAGAAATGAGATTGGGAACAATATTCTCTCATTTCACACAATAAGTCATTCTCTTTAGGATAAGATTCTTTGTTTGAGCTTCATCCAGGTCCATACGTATCTTTTCAAACAAAAAGCATTAATCAATGGTAAACAAGGAAAAATACTAAAGGGAAAAACACATGGTCTGGAATGGGTGAAATTAACCTGTAATTTAACTCAACATTGACGTCTGCAGTCCAAGAAGTCATAACGATTTCAAAAATTTTAAAAAGGTTTGTCAACCAATTTTCTTACCATCTTTGATGTCACTGTCTTTGCGAATGTTATCTAAAAGAAACCCAAATAAAAATTATATCCATTTTTTTATACAAAAATTTTATAATTATGTTACAAGGTACAATTCAATAAAAGATGAAAGTCAAAAACTTAGATGTTGTCTTAGTCAAAAGTCCCTTACCAGTTTGTAGTTCCATGGCTTGTACTGTCACAGCATTACATGAGACAATCTCTATAATCTTATTTTCATCTGTAAGATAATGAGAAAGGAGCATAAAGGTCTATGTCTAGAACCATTTGTATAATTTGAATCACTGTCATTGTGGGGCTTATGATAGGTTGAAACTGATAGGAGTGTCAAACAGATTTATTTTCAAATCAGCATTATTTATAAAGAGGGTTAATTGCATAGATGTAGTTTAAACATGACTTAGCATCATGACAATAATCTAACATCATTCATATATCATATTTTACTATACATTGAATGCATAAAATAAAGTTACAGAATCTATAATTTTTTTCATTCAAATGTCCCTGTATTTTAACATGAGAAGTTCAATTTTCTTCACCCAAAATCAATGAAAGACAGCTGTTAATGAAGTGACAAATGATGTGTAGAATATTTGAGATTATGGCAGATAATAGAGCTTTTAATTCTCATCCCCATCTACAGTTTTATGTAGCATGAGGTACAAGCACAACACTTTATTTTCAAACTTGAGAAAGGTAACAATGAATATACAAATTAACAGTAGACTGTATTCACTGTAAAACCAGACAAAAAAAAGCTGCACCTTGTGAACTGGATTTTGCTATGAATAGTCTAACGATCAGATTAAGTTAAATGGCTAATGATGTGTTCTTCTTTGGTGATTTTAGAGTTATTACTCTAAGTAGAGACAGTCAGGTGCCATGTAATAATCTAATTATTGTAATGTATAGAAAATCCTGGAAAAACTTTTATAATGGCTGTGAATACATTTTGGTCTTACTACTTCATATAACATATAAGACTACATGAAATGGCACTATTCCGTAATAAAGTTTAAGGTTAGGTTTTTTGGTTGTTGGGGTTAGGATTAGAGTTTCAGGATGTTATAATCAATAATTGATAATCAAATAGTGCCATTTTATGTAGTCTTACATAGAGTACTAACCCATGTTGGTGACATTTCTTTTGAAAATGTTTTGTTAATGAATTTTCTTTTAAAAATGTTTTGTTAATGTTGCTCAACAGAGTCAAAGGTGTCATTCATGTAACAAACATCTACAAGATGAAACATGAAATCCTAAATGTAAAAAGCAAGCTGGAATGGTTCATATTCTGGCTGTTGGTCATAAACCCATGAAAACTAATGGATCTCTAAATTCATATCACAAATTATTGATTATTGAACATTAAATAATGAAATTAATGACCAGTAAATATTATATGCATCTTGGTTTGCATAATCAAACCTTTTAGATGAATAGTTAGGGATACTTCTCCTTCATCAATGCCTTGTTCTTGTAGGGTTTTATCCTTGGCAAGCTACAAAAAAAAACACAACAAATATTTATTTAAAAGTTTCAAGTCACAGACAAAATAAATAATTAAAGTCACAGTAAAAATAAATTATTATTATAAACCAGATGATAAATTCTTCATTGATGCTGTTCTTAATTGGTAAAAAAGCTAATCTTAAAAAGCACATATCAATATTTCATTATACAGATAAAAGATTTGTAAGATAATTTCTTAATGAGTATACCTCATTTTCCTTGTAAAAAACGCCAAAATCTTCTAGTTTTCTACCAACGTTTTCTTCTACAAGCAATCGTACTTGATCAGCATTTACAGATGCCATGGTTTGAATGATCACCAATTGAAAATCATTCCCCACACCTGTTCCTTCTTCTGACTCCATCACTTTTTAATAAACTTGACTTTCTATTTAAAAAAGAATAATGACATTAGATGCTCCATGTTTTATTTAATATTTTGGCATTTTGCTATGCAATTAAAGGTCTTGCTCTCAAAGTCCTCACAGTGTGATGGCTATCAAAGTTCAATATATTTGTGATTAAAAAGCTGTGTAAAAATTCAATTTAATACTGTGTGGCCTTTTCTTTACCAAACTATTTTAAATACCACTTTAAATTCTACTTTTTCACACCTGTAGTCAAAAATCAACTAAATTGCCATTCAATCTACCATCAAAAGCTAATTTAGTCTTTGATGCTGTGTTATCATTCCATCTACCTGTATGACTCACAGAAAATGTAACAGGTTTAGGTTTACGTCAGAGTACAATACTTTTACATTACACTTGAACCACGAACGCTTTGAGTTTTTTGTCACTTTTTTTTAAAATGATGTAAATATTAATAATTCCTTGAGCCAATCAATTGGAAATAAGATATATTGAAATCAATTTTTCATTTTAGAGGGTTTGAAACAGTAGAAAGTTAAGGAAATAATAACCTAAAAACAGCTCAAAGTGTTCACAGTTCGGGTGATCTCACTGTAAAAATGGAACAGTCCTTTTCCTAATTCACTGAAGGTAACTGTAATAGAGACTCATACCTCAATCAAAAACTACTTTCAAAAAGAAACTACTTGTTAACAGTAGTACTATATTACAATAGTTTTCTCAGATTCTAATAATCTGTTAGCCCTTCCAGAGTCGCAGTGCGCTATGCATCATAAGATGGTTTTATGTATCTTTTTTACTTGCTGATAGTGAAAAGTGAAAGAAAAGTGATAGCGATTGAAACTTCATGTTCATATCTTTTTATATATTTTAAGAAGGTTTTAGTATGTTTTATGCTATCACAGTGTCATATGAGTAAGAAGTGATATAAACCTTAACTGATTTCTTTCATTTCTTTATGCATAAAATGTCAACTGACTGATAAAATGTCCCTTAAAAACAACCCCATGATGCAACACATTTTTACTTTGACTCTGAAATGGTTAATAGACCAGTGTTTGTCGCAGGCTGACTCAAGAAAAAATTACTTCTGCATGTTATTGGTAGGATGTGTTACTACTGTGCTTAGAAGAAGAAAAAAATATGTTTGAAGGTTAGGTATTGATCAATACATGTAATTTGATTGCATGATATCTATTTTCTTGGCTCAACCATTGCATGTTATTTTTTTGCGTACAGTTAGATATTTTTCTTCTAACAGAAGTGGCTGCATGATATTTTTTTTGAGGTTTAAGTGCTTGCTCGATATTTTTTTAAAAAATTTATGCACCCCCCCCCCCTTATAAACTATCTAATGGTCTGTCCCTAATATGCAATTGCCTGAATTTTGTAAAGCATAAAAACAGTAGGTTACTCAAAGACATTTGATCACAGTGTGTATCAATGTTAAAAGTAACTGTAATAAATGTTAATAATTTAAAATAAATGAAAGAGTTTTTTGAAAAAGCCAATGAAATGGCTTTTAAAAACATCAATTAAAAAAGACTTAATGGTAATAAATGTCTAGTATTCTGTGATCCAATTTATTAGAGCTAGATTTATATTTTTTTATGCAAGACTTATTATCATTTGCATGCTTGTATGTCTCTGGCACATCCGCTTTAAAAAGCAGAACGGATTCCATTCACTAATTCTCCCTCTTTTACAACATGAAATAAATAAAATACTACTAAGCATATTCAACGGTTATTACTGCAATCAACTGTAAAATCAAGAATGATTTATAATATGCGAAGTAATCGAATATAAGCATAAATGATAAAAGGGTAAATTATACACCGTGAGAAGATGAAAAAACTTACTGACGTTTCGGACGCTAGTCCTTCGTCGGAGTAAAAGAGGAACATAAGCATACACACGTTGGGAACAAAAAAAGTTTCTTAAAATCAGCTGTGATATTGAAATGCTGTTATCAAAATTACTTCTGTAGGCTTTGTTCTTTGCGGATTATTGAGCGAACAAATAAAAGCATTTAAGGAGCAGAACTTTTAAATTTATTTTCACGTTTTCGGGAATGAGTTGTGTACTACAACGATTACAACGATGCATAGCTTCCAAAGTTCTACTTTGACATAACAAATGTCTACAGAGACCAAACAAAACACTCCATCTTACTCTATTTGACTCTGGAAGATGAAAATTGGATCAAATGCAAGCATATTTTGTATAGTTAACGAGATTTTCAAGCCAAAAGCAAGAAACATGAGCCCTTCCTGTTTACCTGCAGTGTGGCCTCACTTCCTTTTCGTAGCGAGCAGAAAGACACGCAGATGTTACTTCGCGAAAATTCTCCAATGAAATTACGAATAAACCATTAAAATCAAACTACGAGGTATCATTTAAGTCATAAGTGGGAAGTTAAGCGAGATTACAACATATATCGTGCACGAAAACCAGCTATTTCCGTTAGAAAGAAAAGAACAGCTCGACTCAAAACGAACACGCGCACAAAACTCACCAAAAGCGTCTTGTCCAACCTTCCGGCGGAAACGCCGAACAAACTTTAAAAAAAACGATGAAAACTTCTCTTAAACTTGAAACTTGAGAATTTTGAATATTTGCAGACCAATCATAGGTGTTTTTATAGCAATTCTGGTGTCTTTTCGAAGCAGAAAATATCAACTCGAGAAAGAAATTCAGTTGTCTTCGGCGGCAGGAAATGTGGAGCACCTGGCGACCAAACTTGATGTGACGTCACTATTACTTCCTCTGCCCACTTCACATAAGGAGAATTTAAACTTACCTCAATAAAACATTTACTAAATCATAAAATACCTTATTACGAAGTCACTTAATAGTTATAAAATGAACTAGTATTATTTTATGTTAATTAAATCAATTGGTTGTTAAAATGTTTTTTCAAGCCTTTATTTTATCCAAAGTGATCTTGGTAATTGTCCTCAAGTCTATATTCTCCTTTCATTGTTTGTCTAGAGTACACAGGGATACCACACAGTGATTTATGTCCAGACACTGTATAGTAATAATCTTTTCATTTTGGTCTTTGCTTTAATCGTGATATTCTTTGGAGAACATTACAATATGTATTTGGAATGTGTCTTATTGTGTCAAAATGACTAAACGAAAAGGCCTTGTCTAAAAATGCAATGATTTTACTATATTACTCAACGGCAAGCATCACTTTTTTTATTTACCAAGTTGAACCATTCATTATTGTTTCTTCTGATTATCATATCTATTCATTTATTATTAGTATATTTATTACATTTACTAGCTTGTTTTTAAATTATTTTCTTTGTTTGTTTCTTTTTTTAAATCCATCCAAATTTTTATTTATGAGTTATCATTATAATTATATATCATTGATTAGTAGGCTTACCATTTTATAACATTTCGTTAACCTGATACAAATCTTGCAATGAAAATGCTAATTAGATACAACCACTAGTGGATGTATACTGTTCTGATACAGCACTAGTGGTCATATCTAATTAGCATATGAATTCAAAATGTCCCAAAGGATTTATGAATTATTCATGGCTTTTCACAAGTTATTTACAACATTCACGTCCGTGTTGTATTGGCCATACAGCATAACCAATACAACACGGTCGCTCATAGATACCCACACTGACAACTGTTCTTACTCTGTCAGTTAAAAGTGCCACAGGTTTCCAATCCTACAAGAAAAGGTTTCATATCCCCCATCTCTCTTCAACCACCTGCAGATAATTAATCACTTTAGAGGGCTCCATCTTTTGTTCCCCTGCCTCCACTCATGCCAAGTTTATTTGTACCTGACCAACAATAATATTCAACATTGTGTGTACTAACCATTGAGAGCTAACATCCCCTCCACTCCAACCATCCGAGGTCTTCCCCTGCCTCCATTCACGCCAAGTTTATGCACTGGACCATCACTGGGACCCCCCTCCCATACCATCTGCAATATGCTCCACCACTGTTTTTGGGACAATATTAAAACAAGATTTACACTTTATAACATTTTTATTTGTAGCTTCAATCCTAAGTTTTACAACATACGTGATGCTACCTGAATGCTAACAACCATATAATCTGTTTCTTAAAATGTTTCAACTCTAATTTTACAACTGTAAAATCTACAACTTTTTAGCACAGATATACTGGAAACATATACATACATACTGGTAATAAACCATGATAAGCTGGTACATACTGTACCTTTTATATAACTTTGTATTAATGTGTTTGCAATAGGCACCCATATAATGGGTAAGGTGAAGACCAATATGATCTAAATTTTTTAAATCCTTTTTTTTTAATACATATTTTTCTTTTTTTTTTCTTCTTCTAACTATCAGCTATAATACTCAACATTGAGTATAAACTATCAATAATAGGATGCAGTAACTGCAAACCTATCTACAAAAACTCAGCTTATGCTTGAAACCAGTTCCAAGGTTTTTAACTACATAAATTTCTTAGTGGAACTCTTCAAGGTCATGAAAAAAGGGTAACATTTTAGAGAAGGACATACATTGTATGTCACTTCTCCAAAAAAACATTCCCAAGCATGAAGAAAGCATATTGATGTGAAAAAAACGACAATTATCAAATCATGAGAAACGTTTTTAAATTTTGAAGTTATTTTTTTGGGCTAAAAATTGTTGGGAGACTTTCTGAATACTTGAGAATGATGGATAATATGGTCACGTAAGACCATCGCTTGATGCAAGCTACTTTTCGTCATACTCAGTTGCTGTTGATGAGCCAAAAACTATCAATAATGAACTAAAAATCTTTAGAAAAGATAAGATTGCTACAAAAAAATTCAAATGTCATAAATACAACTAAGAAAAAAAATACAAAAAAAAAAATCATATATTAATACCATGGATCATCAACAGCAAGTAGAGAATAACTTCACAACTGTGGGGGGTTATCAACAAAAATAGCAGAGAGATTATGACTGGTTAAAGTAGGCCGTGAAATCAGGCCAATCGGTTATCCCAGAATCAAGACTCTCTGGGCTGTGGTCAGTGATAAAGTCTTGGGAATCTGAAGTAGTTTCAGACTCACCACAGACAGCATCTTCCACCTTCTCATCTGACTTCTGCTCTGTTGGGTCATAACCCAAGATCTTTTCAATGTCGCACACAAACTGGTACACATACCTCTTGCCATGGACTTTATCAATAATATGTTTGTCATAGTAGTATCGGAGTCCTCGGCTCAGCTTTTCGTAGTTCATGCTGGGCTTGTTCTTTCTCTTGCCCCACATCGTAGCAATGAGGTTTGGGTTCAAAAGTTTGAACTCGAATCTTTCATCATGGGTCCACTTGATCAGGCCTTTTTGYTTGGTGTCAAGCAAAAGCTCAAGCAGAAACTGCCAGAGTTGAATCGGTCCATTTCCATTGTACTTGGCTGGTGGCTTGGGCCCTCGCTTTCTTCTTCCTGTAGTTCCAGTTTGTTGGGTTAGCACATTAGGAACCACTTGCGTCAAGATGTTCTGTTTACAGTTGTCGTCAGATAGAGGGCTGCATGGATTAGGCATTGGGGACCCTCCACTACACATGCTCAAACTGTCACTATGAAAGTCACTTTCGATTCCTTCGTCAGTGCTTGAGCATGGACTGTAGGCAGTTTCAGTCACTGAAGCAGGACTCAAGGCACGCTGGTGGCTCACCATTTCTTCAACCTTGGGATTTGAGAAAGTCTGCTGAGGGCTCTGTTGAAATGCCTGTAAAGGGGTTTGGAAAGGTTGCTGTTGTTGACTGGTGTTCAGGACTTTCTTGACTTCTTCCAGTTCTGTAAAGTCATTCAAGAATGACAGATCAGGAATCTGGTTTCCACCTCCTACAAAAAATTAAAATCCTAATTAATAATCAATTTAGAAAACTATCATATAACCAGCTGATAAACATATTTTTCACATCAGAATCTTACCGTTAAGAATATTCCCTATCAGCTTTGCAAGTTGATCATCTGACAAGCCAAGAGTTTCACCTTCGGGTTGGAAGTCCATTACTATAAAAGGAAAAGGAATTAATTGATTATTTTGCTCACTGTTATTGGTCGCTTGCTCTCAAACGAGAAATGGGAAGTTACTGTCAATCTTCTTAAGATTCTGATGATGACCCCTGAGGCATCAAAATGTGGGTGGGATTAATTAGATCAATTCTTATTGGATATTGATATAGTCACGAACCCAAAATAGATCATGTTATTTATCATGTCAGGAGCTAGCCAATGGGACGCGGGATTGGAAAGTGAAACCAAGTATCGAAAGTGACATCATGGAAAACATGCTGCATCGATTTTTCCGCTTTCGGTTTCGATCGATCTTACCTTTCTTTGTCGAAGAAAGCTCTGGTTTCTTTTCTTCGACGATTCCATCGAATATCTCAGTTACATCAGAATCATAGTCAGAGGTTGTGCCGTCTTGCATTTGGCTAATATCGTAATCATTGCCAAACATCGAAGTGGTATCTAAAATTTAGATAAGAACAACAACGATGTTAAAGGATTTAATCAGCTTAAACAGTTAACTAATGTTTTGAAATTATTCTTTAGGGTTGAGATGAATGTTTTTTAGAGCTCTTACCTAGAAGATCGGCTTGATTGAAAGAGTTCATCCATCCATCATCAAGAGACTGTTGTGGTACAGTATGGGCTGGAGGGGCTGTGGGGACTGCAGCTTGGTTAGCGTAGTACAAGCCTTGAAAATGTTTAAAATCCATTGGTTCGTTCAAGTTCTGTAAAAACAAATGAACGAAAGAAAGAATAGATCAGAAAACGAAAAGAGATCGAATATCTTAGCAAAGGCGAAAGCTGGCAAGATCTGTCAAAATATGAGGGCGACAACGAGCGAACTCGAACGCGCTCAAGCAAGCTGAATCAAAATGAAATTTGTCTGAAATTTGTACATCAAACTTCAAAAATTATAAAAATACAGCCTGATCGAACAAAAAGCTTGATTAGGTAACAAATATTCTCGATTTTGGTCGAAATTTGAATTWAAAAAAACGCTATAATGAGAAATCGCACGTAGCAACCTTCAAAAAGACGAGCTACGCGGAACTAAACGTCCTCAACAAGAAAGAACGAGTTCAGAAACGATAGAATCCTTACCTGTAGCTGTCGGCTTAGAAGAGAAGCTTCGTTCATGGGAAAGTTAAACTAAAGAGATAAAAAACAAAACACATAAATACAAATGAACTCCTTATAGCAAAGCTTAGGATAAAGTATGGATGCGAAGGCACGGTCTTGAGCATGAGTTTAAAGTACTGCCCTCAGCAAAGTTGCTTTTTAGCAAAAAGTTGAACAAAATTTTATCAATACCTGCATTCCTTGACTCGATAACATGGATGTAAGATTTTAAACACGAGAAGGTGTTTTTGGACGGTTTTTCTGGCTGTTTTTTTTTAACGTCCTTTATAAGACTTATTCTTTACTTTTCTCTAGAGCAACTGACTGGGTTATCGGCGCGTTTTGGTATGTATATTTGTGCGTCTGGCTCCTGATTGGCTTTTAGTGATGTCATAGGTATGACGTAAATCCTTCTTATTTATAATCTGATTTTACAGGTCGTTTCATGTTCTTGGGTGTGTGTGGAAGCAGCCAATAGAATGGTTGGAAGCATGACAAAGATTGACAGATCTATCGAGGGATCACTTACAAGTCAACACGAACACATGGGGGATTTCATATCGCTCGTTTCTTGGAAAAAAGATGTATTCAATTAAACGATATGCAACGTGTACTTTCGCAACCATGAAACAAATATCTAAAGCAGAACCTAAAAATGATTTAAAACTACTTTTTACCAGTCTGTGGATGATTCATGTTAAGTTTTATGAAAATCAAGAGAGCGCGCAGTGATGGGTTGTTTACCAAGACCGAATTCTAGGAAAGTTATTTTTGCTAAGTGATGTTTTATGCATTATGCATTAAGGGAAATTATTGTCACTCCGATATCTATGAAATCGACCGAAATTCATTAAAATTTATTAAGCTTAGCGCAAAATGAATATTTATTTTCGAAAGTAATTCAGTTTGCCATGCAGCTTATAATAAAAAAAGTGGGTAATTTAATATTTCGAAAGTTGCAGCCCACGTTACATGTCACCGAGATCGATAACCTTAGGAAACCTCCCACACACGTCTCCCAAAACTTGGATAATAAGCTAGATGGATATCGCTGAATCAGCTAAACTTTTTAGCACTTAAATTTTAGTCAATCTTATGAGATTTTTTTTAGATTATCGTCAGTAACGCATTTTCTAATTACACGCTTTCTTGTTTGTCACCAAAAAAATCGCACCAGTCATGGGATTTTTCCCTTTGTTTGCTCATGCGTAATTTTCCAAGAATTTACTGCCAAACAACGAACGCGCTGGTAAGACATTATAAACTATTTATTTCGGGTAACCTTTAGGAAAGTTTTATCAGTTACCTGCTAACCTTCATAGCCTGAAGATAGCATGTTTTAAGAGCTTTTAGACCTTTTAATTCTCCTACACACCCCTCCCACGGGATATGACGCCTCGTCGAAATAGATTAATCTATCGGGCTTATTAAACTAGTTGTATTAATTTTAAGTAATAGTTTGTATGAATCAATATTGGCCTTGTGGCTATATGAGACGAAAACTAAACAGTGAATAAAAACAAAATTCAGGAAAAACAGTTCAAGAGCGTGCGATCCTATTACCTGACTCAGGGTGTGGAAACCTTAGTTCCGAGGCACGCACAGCCAATGCAAGTTTTTGTCACAGCGCTGTTTCAGCGGAAATTCAATTTTAGTTTGCATTTTTCTCACCCAAAGCCGCTGGCGCATTGAAAGCCTTTGTGATATTGTCACTGCTTCAACGGAAATATTATCTTCAAGCCCGCTCGGTCAATGACAAAATTAACGCAAATGAGCTGTAGAATGAAAAGTACGCATGCACAGATCACGCACGATGGTCATTTCAACGCCAAGTTGCTGGGAAAATAAATTAATTCAGAGTTGTTGCTGTTTAGTTGAGACACCCACTCTCTAAAGTGATCGCCAGACGCCTGCAATTGTTCTATGATAAAGGGATGGGGCTACTATACCTGAGTATCAGGTTAGGGATGGGAGAAGGTGCGAAACGAAAAAAATGGACTGTGGGAGAAACACAAATAGCACACATTCGAAAGTGAAAACTTTATTAAATCTATTTGTGGTTATATTCAATTACATTTTGATGATAAATAGAGATTACTGTTCATTGTGTAATTACAATTGACGCAGGAAAAAGCCCTAAAGATGTTTAAAAGATGTATAGTCTTATCTTTTGAAACGCTTTGACAGTTTTTTTAAAATTATTATTCCATTTTCACTTCGCTTTGTTTGTTGTCTATTTTTCACTTAGTACTTAGGTGAATAGGTTATTTTTAGATTTTCATTCTGATATCAGCAGACGTCTATGAGACGGAAAAAACGGACAATTTGGAGTTACTATGGCGACACTGACGTCATACACGAGAAAAAATTCTCCTAGTAAATAACAAGACATCATGGAGTGTGAAATTTGTTTCTGTTATCATAATAATTGTTAGTTTTTCTTAAAGAAGCTCATCAAAGAAGCTTGTTTAACTGGTTTTAGGTCCATTTGTTTGTTTGGTTTTGAGTCTGGGCTGGTACCCTTAATAGTGTGAGGTACAGGAAGTGGGTCTTGTTTAACTTCCATAATTTCTTCTTCATCACTTGCATCAGTTGATTCGCTCTCATATACCTTCTCTGTGACTGGATTGCAAGAGAAAAAATGTTTGTCTTAAAAAGAAAATAAAGTGACATCCAATGTTTCTTCTCTCTTTCCTTCCTTTCTTTCCCTCTACTTCCAAAAATACTCTCTGGAGAATTTTATAGCGATAGAATGATACACATGGCTTGCATCTCTCTCCCTTCCTTTCTACTCCTCACTCTTTACTCTCTCTCTCTCCCTCTCCTGGAGCTAACATTATCTATGTATCAAAGCAATTCTAATAACTTAGCCATTAAATACTTACCCATAAAGCCATCATCATCTACATAGGTTTTTGACTTCATGACCTTCCTTCTCTTTCTTCTCTTTGTTGAATTATCAACTGGTTTTTGGCTGGGATTAGGTGTTTCACTTACAACAGTACTGTGGTCACTTTTTGAATTGATGGAATCTGAGGATTGAGATGGAAATTATAGTTAATATTGCCACAGGTTTTTGTAGAGGATTTTATACTGTAGGCATCGCAGGCATTCCCTCTATTCTTGGTTGATTTGATTGTAGAGTAACTGCTCTCAATACGAGTGCCACAAGGGGGTGTGTTCTACGTTTTTCAATTTTCGTGTATCGCACACTTTTTTTAGCCCAAATCATGCATTATGCAATTACCACTGTGCCACGCTTTGAAGCGAAGCAGCAATCCTCATTTCTCCTAGGGCTAAACGAATTGGTTTAAAAAGCAGTATAAGAAGTATGTTTGATTCAGATGGAAAGTCTTTTGCATTATTTACTATTGAGGTGCAACCACTTGCCTTCTTCACTGCTCTCTTCCTTCTCTTCTTTTTTCCTCTTACGGTTTGTTTTGGTTGTCTTGTCTTTGGCTTCATCTAAAAAAGAAAAGGCACTGCCTTTACTACATGATGATAAGAATACATGAAAATCATGCTAGGCATCTATTTATCCTTATGTTAAATGTACAGTAGATTTTAGGCATTTTGAATGAAGTGATAATTCATTGTTCACATTTTTATTTTCCCAATTCAAACCACTATCAGCAGCCTCTTAACAATCTTCCTACCTTGTGTAGCTTCTTTGCTGTTCTTTGTTGTCTCTCTTCTGAAGAAATAATTTGAAATCCCCACAAAGGTAAATAAAGTGCAATAAGTACTCAGAAATATAAATCATAAGAAAGTCATAGATAGGAGCTTACTTGGTTGTCTTTTTGTTTACAACTTCTTTTTCCTTTTCCTTTTTACTCTAAGTACAAAAATTATTAGAACATTTGGGATATTTCTTATTTCTAGACTTAATTTCTAGATTAATTTATAATAAATTAATATAGAAATTAATTAATTAATTTAATTAATTGCTAATTTAGCAAAGAAGATCAAATTTAGTTAATATTTAATAATCAATATTAATGTTAATTTATACCTTTGATTTTGACCTTCTGGGCTTAATTTCCTCTAAAGAATAAAGTAACGCAATTAATATTGATAATGATTACACCAGACTTGACTTAAATATGCTTTGAACTGTCTTACTTTTGACAACATAATAATGGGACTATGAAAGGGGTTCTCATGCTTGACTACACTCTATTCCCTTGGACCACTTAAAATTTGTAAACTACAGTCATTATTACCTTCTGATTCAGAATCAGACACCAATTTCTTAAAGCTTTTTGGAACAGGATCCTATGGAGGGAAAAGGTGTTCGGTGAATTATTTTTTTGGCAGAATCCAACAAGAATTTATTTGACATATTATTACAATTTCTTTAAATTTGTTCTCAACTAACCTCTTCCTCATCTGATGATGACAAATTTCTGGAAAATACATAAATAGGGGTTATTGATCATAAGGAAAATATTTCAGCAGGTTTTAGATGGTTTGTGAAATTTTTTTATCATAAACACAACCATCCAGTTGCCAAGTTGCTAGAGTGAAGGCATTTAACCAGTGAAATAGAAATACTAGTCAACGTTTTATAGTCAAATAGACAAATAAATAAATAAATGGGATTTCACAGTGGCATTTCTACAGAGTAGCTATTCATCCACTGTAATTCCAATTGGAATTTAGGAGTTGATTTTTGGACAATGGAAATAGGGTCTACTAATGTGTATTTCTAATATCTATTTCACAGGTTTTAGTGACTTCACTCTATGTCCTAAGACTTACTAGAAGCTCATTAGAAGCTTACTTTATTCTTTTTCTGGTTTGTTTTGTAGGTTTGTTAGATTTTTGTTTGTTTTCTGAGGTTTCTTTGATATCTTTGGTGTGGTCAGATTGCTTTTCTTCTGATTTTTCTTCTGATTCTTCTTTTGACTCTTCTACTTTTTCTATAGGTTTTTCTTTTGGTTTTTCTTTTGGCTCTTCTTTGGGTTCAGATTTGCTCTTAGTTGGTTCTGGATGAAAAACACAAACAAAGAAACATATTCACAAAAAAAAATGCTATAAACATTTATAGATGATTCTGTATATTTTCTATATCCACTGTGTATTCGTCATACTGCTCTCATATTATGTAGTTCACAGAAAAGCTGGATTATAATTTAAGCTGTTGTTTGTTGAGTTGTTTAAAAAGGGTGGGGTAAGGTTGGTGAAATACTCCCAAACTTAGTGTTATTTATTTTTGTCTTAGCCACCGACTATTAAGTGCTACCCTTGTAAAAGAAGGACAATTTATTTTAATTTTATTTATATACTATCTATCAGCTTCTTGTGCAACCCCTTCTTCAGTTGATCACAACACTTTAGCACTTACCTGATATTTGTTTTCCAAAGAATGACATCATTCCACTTGGCTTTGATTTCTCAGCTGGTTTAGCTGGTTTTTCCTTCTTGTTTGAAACAGCATTACTAACTGGTTCATCAGGTTTTTGTTGTTCAGGTTTTTTGTCTGTCTTAACAGCAAACATTCCCATGTTTGGAAGTTGTCCTTTCTTTGATCTTTGGTTTGATGGCTTGGGTAAATAGTGACAAGAGAATAATGCATTAAATTCATAATTGGTGTACTTTTTCTTTCCCTAGGATGATCAAGTGAGTATTACAACTGCCTTTGAATATGAGCCAGACAAAGTCTTTATAGACTGGTTGGTTCTTGACTAACCATGGCTTCAACTACACATGCATTTAGAGCTCAGACTTTTAAACCCCTTCGCTAATATATATTTTGATTGCTGTCTAAAAAATATTTTTGATATGTCCCATATTACTGGTAATTAATTAATAAAATAACAATTGATAACTTTTATTTAATTATTAGTTTAATTAATAATTAATACCAATACTTACTTTGGGTTTAGGTTTATCTGTCATTGAACTTGAAGAACCTGATGTTAAATTGCAAAAAGCATAAATCAAGTAATATATCATTACAAGTATTATGCAAGTAATTTTTCCACATTTTGCAACAAATTTTTTAGTAAATTTTTTCCCCACTGCTGTCATCTAGGAAAAATGTACCACTATATGCATTTCACATACTACACTTTTTCTGAGATAGCAAACATGATGCATTATATTCTAGCTTTAGTACAAACATCTTTCGTTTATGTCTTATATGGTGTTGTTTGCACTGATGCTAGACTACAATGCATCACCTTAATTAGCTCAGAAAAGGCCTACCTACACGTTAATTTCTAGACCACAAACCATCTTATTAATCAAACTCATAAAAGGACGATGTACATGCTATTTCTAGACCACAAAGCATCACCTTAATCAACCTCCGAAAAGGCTGATATGTTGTCTCACATGATTACTATATTCATACCTAATCCATTGGTCATCTCAGGTTTTGGAACTGCATTTTCTTTGCCTGGTTTGCTGTGGGAGGTTCCTCGGTTTGCTCCTCCGTCACTACGTTTTGTTGCTTCTTTGCAATAAATATGACTCCATTTGTTGGGTTCATCTTTGTGTTCTTGTTGAATTTCATAATCAACAGTATAAAGGGTGTTAATGTCCTGGAAAATAATACAAAATGTCAGTATTCTTGATTAATTGGAAAAACTATTCTTGGTTTAATGAYGATCATACAGATGATGATAACATTGACATATGCTGATACAATGATTGTGCTAATGATGCTGAAGATAACATTGGTGGTGGTGGAAATGATTATAATGACACTGATGAATAGTTCATGATTATGTGGTGATGATAATGAAAATGATGATTGGCTGAAAGATTGATTATTAATTTTGTCAAAATAACAAAGATGAAAGTACAGTTGATAACAACGATGAAAAATGACAACTGACAAATAATCTATGTGTTGATGATGATGATGATATTAATGATGATGATCATGATTGTATGTTGATTATAGATCTTTTTCATACCTTTGGGGTTTTCTTTTGAAGGCTGTATACATGTACAGAGGTTACGCATTCAAACTGCTTTTTGGTTTCTGCACATTGAAAAAATTAAGAATATCTTTTTAATTAAATGCATGGAAACCATATAAGTGAACATCGTGAATTCTTATTTAGTACACATTTCTGAACCTTACCTTCAAGCTTGTGATCACTAGTTAAAACATATTGGTGAACCTAAAGTATGATTTTTTGAGAACAATTAACCTTATACTGTATTTTGGGAAAAAAGTGCAAGAATAAGAAAAATATGCAAATGGTGGTACTACCAAAAGTATTTTCTTACCAATTGATCATCAACCTTACACCTTCCTCCAACTAAATAGGTCGCTGTCAAACTATTGCTCTTCTTTGCTCTTTCTTTTAATAAAAAAGCATAAAGCATCCTGTTGCAAAGGAAGTAAGCTTCAATAAGTTAAAGCCACTTTCGTTTTGTGTTAGCAACTTTCATATAAGCTTAAATTAAATTCCTCTCTGCAAATCAATGGGTTAGTTAGACAATTTTGAAGAGTGAAAAACTCTTCTTGGTATTAGGCATACTATTTAATTTTTAGCTTTAAAAAATAAGGGAAAAGAACGACGAATTCTTACTGTTTTGCAGTGTTGGATGCGACAGATAAAGTTCGACTGAGCCATTTATAGGTTACCTAAAAAACCATGCAAAAATCAGCTGAAATAAATACATTAATGAAGAGCCTTGGTAAAGAAAAAATAGCTAACAAAATCGATAATACATACAACTTTGTCTTGATCGTTAATAAATTCGTCCAAGTTATCCAAATATAAACTCTCTTCGTCCGCCATATTGATTTATTTCCCGCCAAATTAAATTTCGCGCGCGCAAGCGTTTCTGGGGAATTGACTTTTTAATAAATTTTACTTAAATATTTGTTTCTTTTCTTCAGCCAAACGCGTTTTATTAATATTTCTTACATTTATTGCCCTTATTTTCTTGCAAAGAAATATAGCTAAACTTTTAGATATTTTTAATTTTTTTTTTAATTATTTTTGTAAATTCCCGCGGCGTCCCGCAAATGTCCCGTGATTTTGCGCTTTCAAAGCAGTATGGGTAGTTTTACTACAGATCAAAACAAAGATGGCTGGTGTTGCTGGGACTCTTGGAAAATCAATATTTTTTAAGTTAGCAGGAGTTTCTGGAGTGCTTGGTGTTGCTTTAGGAGCTTATGGTGCACATGGTAGGAGATATGAATAGTGGGTTCTTGAATTTCTTGAAATTTCTTTGAGTTTCATATGGTAAAGGAAGCCGCTTTGCTGTAAGCGTGACATAACATGAGGGTGTTACATAAGAAGACATAATCCTAAATCACGTCGAAAAACTTTGATTCGTTAACTATGATTAACAATTTTAAAATATCTTTTTTACACCGAAAGGTCCATCACTGAATAAACCAGGCGCTGAGAAATTTAAGGAGGTATGATTGATACAAGTGACATAGCCAGGGGGTCCTGCTCCCCCCTCCAATCCTCATTCTGTAGAAACCTGAACCTCTATGTAGTCACATGATAAGTTAAACTTACCAATGCCCCACCCCCCACCAAGGCAAAATCCTGTATTATTTACCAGAAAATTTAGGTCTATAGTTTCAAAAAATAACTCTTCTTTGTGGAGGGGATTGGTACGGCTATGTATGAACTTTAATTGTTAGTGTATCATTCCAACATATTGGTAGTGATTAATGAAACTGCAAGAATCTTGCCTACAAACACCTACCCCCTCTTCCAACCCCTCCACCATTTAAAAAAATTTCATTTCCTTTTTGCATTTAAGTTCATTTGAGTTCTTATTAATATATCAGGTTTTCAAGACAGCAAATTTATACCATCTTGTACACACTGTTGCCCTCCTAGCTGCTCCATTAGCTCAAAGACCGAATTTGGTAAGTAACTATTAAGAGGAAATTTTTTTCAATAATGAGAAACAATGGAAAAAAGCGCCAAAAACTAGACTTTCGTATGAGTTTTGATCCCAATTTTCGTTTTGGGTTAACACTCAAAACCTTTTTAAACAGTTAGAAACTGATGTACTATGATAAAATGTCTGTTTTTGTTGTTTTTTTTCAGTYGTACAAAGATGTTTTGTTGCATTTGTGTTAGAATGTTGCTTTGTCAGGCTTTTTTATAGAAAATATATGGGAAATAAGCAAATGAAGGCCTAAACCTCATTTTCAAATAAAATTTTTGCTTTGGCTTAACACTTTGATTCCACTTTCATCAGTCATCTTCACTTCCAAACAAGTTAAACTTCCTGAATAACAAGATTTTAGCCTTTCTTCAAGAAAATAGTTTTTGGCGCTCACTGCTTGAATAGGAAAAGAATCCTTTCTTAATACGTAAAGACATCTCTATATATACACTGAATTGAAATATGGCACACAATTTGAATAACCATTGTTCTGGAACAACTTGCCTACATGTTCATGTGGAAATACAAAAGCATTTTCACATGTACAAGAAGCTAGTCAGTTCAGAACAATAATTTATATAGTTACCATTGGTGTATATTTCATAAATCATGCTATAAATTGGTGATGATTTATTCTTTTCATTTTGCATTATAGGTTGGCGGACTCATATTTACAGGAATGACATTGTTTAGTGGAAGGTATTTATATGTATCTGATTTTTTGACTTGCTCTTTGATAGTATTTTTTACTCAGTAGCTTTAATTTTTAAACAGCAATAGAATACACCAGTATTCTAATTTATATTTCTAATAAAGTGTTTTGTTTTATTTTCCCAGCTGCTATGTTGTTGCTCTCTCACAAAACAGAAAACTTGGTATACTTGCTCCATTTGGAGGGACTCTGCTCATGATAGGATGGGCATCATTCTTATTTTGAATTGTAAAAAACTAGCTAAAAAGCAGAATTATGATATTTTTATCATATCATCAACCAAAATCTGTAATTTCTTGTGAGTACCAGTTCTTCACTCAATCTTAATGAAGGTACATTGTTATTTGGGGGGGGGAGGGGGTACTTGAGGGAGGGGGCCTGGGAATTCAGAGGGGAGGGTCATCAGAATTATTTTATTTTGACAAAAGCTTTTCCTCGTTGACTTGATAAGCTCCTAGCATGGGACTAGAGTCCCGTTCATACCATCCCTATTGGGTAGTCATTCACATTCATTTTTCTAATTATCCTACCATCTTATATAATATACAGTACATGTATCTTAAAGCTATTACTCAATAAAGTTGTAAAAAATAGAAGGTTCATGCATTTATTACTGAATGAAAAGGAAATAAGGCTAGGATCATTAAAAAAAGATTACTGCAAATCCTTCAGCTCTCATGTGCCATGCTTGTATACCCTAACCAGTCATTCCAGGAAAATAAGGAGGGAAGAGCATAAAATTTCCTAGAATGGCTTCCTTAAATTTATAGACATAAGTAACTGGATGTTAGTATAAACTCCAATTGGTATTCATATTTCTTTGTGCCTTCTCTGAAGAGAAAAGCTTTATTTTAATCACACAGGACAAAGACGTTGATCCTCATGAATATTGAATAATTAAATTATTAATAATAATTTATATTTCTTAACAAGGTAAATGAATAAATTTTAGGAGACCTTGAGCATAATCTGGTTGTCAGTGCTCTTTGATTTCTAAAAAAAAATTCTCAATTGTTCATTTTTTTGATTGGAAGTCATGCAAGTACTCTCTAGGCTCAGATTTCCAGCCATTAGGGTTTCATTATCTGAGTCTAAGGTTAGTTCTCTCCTGCACTGCAAGTGTTTTTCTCTTGGTTCTCTAATTTTCCTAAATGGAATTCAGTGGAAAAAGAGCTACTGTTGAAATAATTGTTTTTTATTTATTTTTATTTTAGTATTACTAGTAAGAATCGGATGGGAGGGGTGGTGTAGTGCGGGCTAACACAGCGTTCATTGCATGATGGTCTTTGTGTTGTTAGACATGCGTAGTGAAGCATTACAACGCCAGTTCAAAATGGCCACCTCTTCTCGACATGAAAAGACATAAAATACCAAGACCTTTACCTTGCCCTACCAACTCAAACAAGCCATGACTGGCAACAAATCGATAGAAAAATGCTTCGAGGAAGCCGAGGAAACTGGACTATTAAATTTAGGGAACAAAGGACTGAGAGATTTCCCAGATGTTGCAGGCGATTGTGAGCTGATCGATGTCATCGAAGCAGGTACGGTTCAGCTTGGGAGTAAATAACGCCTCTCTTCTAATATTTCATTATGTCTCCAGCCATAAAAGCGATTTTTAAACACTATCTATGGTATTTTGATTCTATTTTAGATCTATCGAAGAACAGGTTTGCAGAATTCCCTATCGAAATATGTGATTTTATCATGTTGGAAAGGCTCGACCTGTATCACAACGCTATCCGAAGCGTTCCCGAACTCGATGGTCTGAAGTGGCTCACAAAATTAAATTTAAGGTAGGTTTTCTCCACACAAAAAAAACTTGAAGACTGCATAAATTTATAAGATACGTATCCTAAAAGAGTATTCTCTTATTGTCTTGTATCATTCTGTATTTTCCGCTTAGCTTGAAAAACCAGTTACCAAAGTATATGACTTCGGCTTCGAAAAGATAGCTTACTTTGAATTGTTTGAACTAATATTTGATTTTCTCCAATTTTTTTATGTTTTAAAATTCTCAATTATGCATTCTGTATTCTACAACAAACACTTATGATCAAGGAGTTTATATTTCGATTTCTTTATGTGTAGTAATTTTTATCTTTATTTTTTCGCAAAGCTAACTTGATGTAAAGGAATTTATTTATTTACAAAATGTCATACTGATTAACTTGATTGTAAATCCTTTTGCTTTTTCGTACCCTGTGGGGATTTATTGAGCAACAAAGCTCCTAATCACCGGATTGCATTTTACAAAACGACTTTAAAATGATAATTCAAAAATTGGGGGTGTAGCAAAGTAAAGCATTAAAGTTTAAACGAATCTTGTCGAAGAAAAATGAAAGGTCCGAGAAGTGTTTCAGCTGTATTGTTGCAGTTTTCAAATCCTCTGCTGTATTGCAGCTCTGTCACGGATCGCTACGATCTAGATTATACCAATATTATATCAAAGAGTATCTAATTTAGTAATACTTAGGAAACTTTTGTTTTCGTTTTCCAATTTAAGATAAAGCAACTCGAGAAAGGTTTACAAATTTTGATTCTCTGTCTTGACAAGTTCACTTCCGGGTGTTATTCGGCATTTCGAATCTTCTACAGTTATTTCGATTTTTTTCTACATGATCAAGAACAATCTTCTATTTCCTGTTGATGTAAAACGTTTAAATGACATTCTTTTTAGAAATTTTCAAATTTGTAAACAATCTTGCAATAGATTTCATTAAAAATTCAACTAAAGTCACTTTTATATGTCATCATTGTTTCTTCATGTCAAATTTATTTGCTCAAGTTTATTAGTTTTTTCCTCAAAATTAGCCACGGCATTTCAAGTTTACCTACGTATTCAGCTTTTAATTAAGACTTCATTTGGATTGATATTATAGTATTTGTTTGGGCACAATACATATCCAGTAAACATTTTGTATAGTTTCCTTCAATGTCATGCTGTGAAGGACCTCAATCCTCTTTCCAAACAAACCCCAGTAGGTCTTGCCAAGTCTTTGGCTTCATGCCAACTTTATTAACTTTTTATTAAAAAAGCAATAGTCAATAAAAAGGCTTTAAAATATCTTTGCTTTAGGACATGCCATAACTATATATTCCTGTTTTAAATGTTTTCTTTAGTTTTCTATGTATTTTTTAGTTATAAATTGCAAGCTCTTAAGTTCTTTGTTAAGAGCTAAGATGTCTTTTCCATACATCATACTCAAAGAAATAATTGCCAGTCATTTTATTGAGACTAGACAATACAGTAGTTAGTTCAGATAAATAATAGCAATGATAAAAAAAATAATAATAGTTTTAACATTTATACAACACATATATCATATGCATATGCTCACCTGCATGCAGACCATACCATGCTACACCTTGATTGTATTAGATAGTGCATGCTTGTGCTTCTTGAATCCAAATTTCGGTCCCAGGCAATGAGCCACAGTGCTAATCCCTAAATTTGACAGTCTGCTATCCTTTTGTTCTGGGACATTAAGTAAGGGGTGTGGCATATTTTAAAAATGTAAATAAAATATTGCAGTTTTTCTTTTATTTACAATATGTAAAGCGGTGTGACTATATCCTATTTCTATCTAGTGAGAATTCTCTTAGTATGCAAATGCAAGTCAGTTTTTTTTATTTAAAAAAATCCACCAAATCAATGTGCTATACTTGTCTTAGAAAATTATTATTATTATTATTGTTATTATTATTATTATTATTATTATTATTATTACTTGTTTACTTTGTTTGATAGTTGGTTAAAATTCCACCTGTAGCAGATATTGCAAATTTCCTTTAACAACTTGGGCCATTTTAAAGTATCCTCAAATTATTTAGTCATTTTTGACATTTGAAAAGGGATTATGTCAAGAAAGAAAAATTTATTTGATTTTCTGGCCAGTCAAGTTGACCTCTCTGTGACCTGATAGAGTATTTTTAGCACATTTGCAAACACTACTATACCAATTTACTAGGTCATTTGTTAACCGTAATATAATTGAAATGTGCCACCAATAGACCCATTAAGTTTGGACAAAGTGTTTTCATATTTCATACCATTTCTCATTCCCTAGAGCATCATTTCTTTGTTTAACGGTTGCACATGAGAAGACACATGAATATGGAAATGATTCAAACAAAGAATCTTGTTCTCAAGAGAATGACACATGGTCTGAAATGGGGAAACATTACATCCAAACCAAAAATATCTTTATCTGGGTAAACCAGCTAGCATAATCACTGGTTGACAAGTTACTGTCATTTACATCTAGCTTGCCAAGCTATCAAACGATCCACGAAAATAGAATCATATATCAAAATAAAATGCATTACACCAAAGCTTGGTATTGAATAAATTATGTGGTCAATTATATAAGATGATCCAACCCATTTCCAGAACAGATGGTACGTTTGGTATAAGACCATGTGCTAGTGTTGTTGGTGGCAAACAGCTGTCCATTTAGAATACATGTATGACATAAATACATAAAATGACATAAAAATACATGAGATAAATTAAGTGGTCATTTGTATAGTGTCCCCTAGTCATTGTGATTTAGACAAAACAGTTTCAGGAGTGGGAGGGTCTTAGGGCATATATCCAATATTCTTAAATGAAGCTTGAGTCTTCTGGGTTTATGCAAGGGGTCAAATATCAATTGGACTCCCTTCAAATGCATGGAAATTGAAGTTTACTGGAATTTTGTGTGCTATATTCATATCTATAAGATAGAAGGGAAATGGGTAACAATAAACATGAAAATGAGACTACAGGTCCATATCCACCCTAAAGTACATTACATTTGCATGCGAATGGCATTGTTCTCTAACAGTCATTATGTAAAGTTAATTCAAAGTTTTAAGAATCAAACATAAAAATTTCCAGCTGAGCAGTGAACACGCCGCACAAAGCATGATTGGATGAAATTACTATCCCTAAGCTTAAAATAATGAAGCAAACATGGCAGCAAAGTAAAAAATAAAATTATTATTTCTTTTCATATTTCTTCTTGTAGGCATGTATATTATATTTTAGTCAAAAGTAAGCAGAAAAATACGAAAAAAGTAGGGTTACAGTAGCCTGGGAATAAGGGCCAGCAGCAAAACGGCTAAGGACACTGGGATTGGCTAAAACAAAATTCACTGCTTGGCTAGTTCTTGGTTCCATTATTCATCACTTCATGTTTATTGTTTTTTTGTCTTTTAGGAGGAATCAAGTGTGTAGCCTTCCTTTAAGCCTTGGATTATTACCTCTTAGAGTCTTAAACCTCAGTAATAATAGACTCACTTCTCTTCCGGTAGAAATAGGATATTTGACATTGCTTCAAGATTTGGTAAGTTATAATCCTATCCTCTTGATATCAGAGGTGGATCTAAGAAGGGTTTGAGGGATTGCAATCCCCAGCTAAACTCATTGGCACTGATGAATTGGAGGGAGGTGCCATCGAGCGCAACGTTCTGATCCGCGACGATCAACAAAAACGTACCATGCCATGTGCTATGAAGCCCCTGAAGGCGCTCCTGCAGCAACCGAAGACCGCTGGCCAGCGTGCCTTGACTTTAACTTTGCCTGACCCTTTGCCTAAGTTTACTTTAACCCCATTGTGAATTAAGGCAGTAAAATGAAAATCTTGCATCATTTGCCTTTGATCTCAGCATCATAATCCTGGAACTCCAAATAAATACATAAAGTTCCTAGATCTTTCTCTGGAAGTTAGGTTGTCTTTTACTAGTTAGCCCTTGTTAAATATGTTAACTTTTTATACCGTTAAACATAGTATATACAAGGTTCAAAAAATAATAATTTTTATTGAATGAGCAAATAAATCTGTGCAAAACAAAATTTTTGTTTTATTGTGTGTGAAATTTATCCTTTTGAAATGCTTAAATTTATTATTTATTTTTCTATTTATAGGATTTAAGTTGCAATGAATTAACTCGACTTCCAAGTAGTATGGGAGAAATGATTTCATTAAAAGATTTAAATGTAAGGAGGAACGAGTTACAGGCTCTTCCTGATGGTAAGATTTCCTTTCTTGATTTTCTATTACTATGTTAGTTTGGGGGAGGGAGGTGGAGGTCACTTGTAAGAGCAGGATAGAGGGAAGTAATATGTCCAAAACTGAGTTTGATATGCCTCCCAACTCCATTGTGGCAATGATATGAAACATCTTTGACAACCCATTTTTTCATGCTTTGCACTGAATGTCATATGCCTATGTTTGTTGAAGTCTCCTTTCATCTCCCACCCCCACCCCCAAAAATATGACATCTTGGAAAACCCACTGTTTACTGAACATTTTTAAAGCTTTGCTATGACTCCAAAAAATACTTTCCTCTCCTTTCCTTGTTGCATTAAATAAAATCAATCAATCAATAATGTGTAGTTTCAAAAATTATCCATACCCACCCATGTAAGAATTTTTAAAAAAGACCCCATCCCCACCCCCAGAAATTCCAATATTCTTCCATACAAACTCTGTAAATTTTGTTCTTTCTCTGACCCCCTACCCTTCAGAAATCCCAAATTCCTCTGTGAGGTGGGTGTGGATGATTTCTGGAACTACACAATGGATAATTAATTTAGCGTTTTGTTTTTTTTTTCAGAATTAAGCAAATTAAAATTAGTAAAATTGGACTTCTCATGCAACAGAGTATCTGTTATACCGCCAGCATATCGACTTATGACTACATTATCATGTCTAGAAATATCACATAACCCTTTGACATCACCACCAGCACATGTAAGTAAATACATTGGGGATTGTTTGTCTTCAGGATTTTTTGAAACGGAAAGGGATGACCCTTTCCACTAAAGCAGCCTTCAATAAAATGTAATAATAAAATATAATAATGGGATTAACAGTGGATTCCACAGAGTGGCTCTTCTTCCACTGGTTTCCAATTGGAATTTAGAAGTTTATTTTTGCGGAGGGAGGTAAGCCGGAGAACCCAGAAAACCCTCGAAGCACAGGAGAGAACCAGCAAACAACTCAACTCACATACAACACTAAGCTCTTCTGGACTCGAACTCAGGTGGCATTGGTGAGAGGCGAGTGCTCTCACTGCTACGCCACCCATGATTCCATACTTTTTAACAATGATTCTTGGTATTTATTTGCCTCTTTGTTTGATGGCAATGAGGGGGCAGCTAGTCATGTACTATTCACCTTCCCTGGGATCTGCATGCTATTGAAATATGCAAAGCTGATTGTAAAAAAATTCCAAATTTTATCAATACCCTGGAACAGCTTCTAGCTTCTGTTCAAAGTCATAGCACGTCTAACTTCTAGATTGGAATATAGCTGGTTAGGTTTTGCAGAGGAAGGAAAACTGAAAAACACAGAGAAAAATCCTTGAATCAAGGGAAAAACGATCTGACCTAACGAACTCTATGTTCATGGAATGCTGAGTCTAGGAATCAAACCTTAGACCCCAGAGGGGGGAGGAGAGTGCACTACCACTACACCACTCTTGATTCCCATTGGATTTATAATGTGAATGACAAAGTTTACTAATTACAAGCATTATGTTCAAATGTCAGGTGTGTATCAAAGGTCGACAGCATATCTTTAAATATCTAAGTGTTGTGGCACAGCAGCAAGAAAAGGTAATTTATAATAAAAACATTGATAATACTACTCAAGTTTAAGTCTATATGAGGTAGCATGTCACCTCTAACTTTAACCTCTACCCTCCCAGGGTTTCTAGCAAGGTACTCACTCCAGCTACTGAATCAGGGCCTAAAATAATGGTAGGACATCAGACAATGCCAGCCAGAACTGGGACTTGTCTGGTCAAATCTTAGCCTTGTCAGTCATTTTGACCAGTAATGTTTAGCCAGAAATGACCTATGACTAAGCTAAAACTATATTTGGTCTGTGATCATGAACAACTACCGATTGGCCATTATTTTAAGCCCCACTGAAGGGCGTCTTGGATTTTCCCCCCAATGTCACAGGGAAATGACCTCATTACTAAGACCAGCAGTATATTATTTTAAGCACCAGTTCATTCTCAACAACCTGATTTTATATTATTGCAAATGCCAATGACCAGAGATCATAGACATTACAAGCACCAAAGACATATATATATATATGTCTGAGGTAGTTTGTGCAAAAAACATTTGTTAATGTATATAATACATCCATAGGAAGCGAAAAGGGGTTGAAGAAAATGTTTGTTCATTGTTTTGTTGGTGGATACTAAAATTAAGTAAACAATAACTTCATCTAGTATTAGAGTTCATTTATTGAAAAAATTACCTTTGCCTTCATTTAGAAAAGAACATTAGATCGAGATATTAGGAAACCCTATTCTATGGGCAAAAAGAGTTCAACTGCAAGGTGAGAATGTTATGCCGCAATCTGCAACCCAATCTGCCAGGCAATCCATCCTGGTTCCATTTTTTATATCTTTGTATGCAAACTAAATAAGAAATGCACCACATTTTTATCTCAAAAATTCCCACTTATATTCTTTCTTGTTTTCATCCAGTCTTATTTTATTTCTTTTCCAGTTTGAAGGAAGAATACCTAATGGGAGACTCTGATCACATTATAACAGAAAGAGTTAGGAGAACACACTCACTCGACATGTCTGGAGCTGGCTACATTCATCAGGTGAGAACAGAGGACACTATTTCCAATACAAAGACCAGTTATCATACGTCTACTGCTTTCTGCCAGAATTCCTAGTTTATAAACATTACATCCAGCTATTATTGTTTCAGATTTACTGAGCAATAGAAGAATATTGCAATAAGTTATAAGTATTTTTTTTTCTTTTTTTTGGTTTGCAAAATTTGCATTATTTTTTTACAAATCAAAATGAGTTACTGCACTATAGTCCCTGGTATGCTTCCCTGGTATGTTTTTAGTGGCATTACAAGCCCTGGGAAACTGGAATTTCATCATCTCTTGGCAAACATACAGTACTGATTACTATCAATGCTAACTTCTCTGTTGTCGTTTTTTYCCACCATATTTAAAGAAGGACGACAAGGAGTCATACAGACCAAGTTCTCTGCGAGAGCGTGACAGACAAAGAAAACCATTATCGAATGTTTTTGAGAACGAGGAAAGAAGGAAAAAAGTTCAAAAAGAAATAGAACAAGCTAAGCGACTTCTGTCAGAAACCATGCAAGCCGATGATCGTGAGTCTGGGAGTATACCTGATGGTGAATTGAATGAAGGAGAGCAGCTCAAAAATGTAAGTTTCAGGCATGATGAATTTTTGAGCAGCAGTTTTGTCTAACAGTTGGTATAACTATATATATCATTGCTTTGTGGCTTGTGTGTGTTACACGTAACAGTGTGCTCAGTGTGCTTCTCGACCCATCAGTCTGTACGTATCAATATTACAGTTTTTGCATTTGCATGAATGTGCTTTTAGATATTTATGTTGTTGTGATAATAATTATTGAAGGTAAATTTATTAGTGTTTTTTTCTAATCCTTTTTTTTTYATTATTAATGAATTTGAAGTATTTGAATTAAAAAGTTTTTAGTTCGATATACTTTTACAAAAACTTGTATATTATTTATTATATTTATTTTCATTTTACTCTGATTTAATTACAAGTAATAGACCTTCCAATTCCCAGGCATGATGTTCTGAATCGAAAAATATGGTGACCAATTTGAATAACCATTGTTCTAGACTGACTAATCATTGTTCTAGACTTACTAATCAGTCCTGAACTTTAAATAAAAATAATAAAATGGGTTCGTATAACTCTGGACATGATTAAACGGAATGCAATAATGTTTGTCTTAATCTTGCTATTTTTAGAATCTATGTGCAGCTCTTTTTGTCTTCATATTTTGATTCGGCATATGCCCAAGAGGTCTATTGCATAATCCAATGAAATCCAGACATTTTTGGTTTTTGGCTTTGATTGACTAAAGCAAGATCTCAGATGTCTGAAATTATGGTTAGATGTCAGTTATATAGCAATAATTATTATATGCTGTAACTTAGGATAAAAAAACTATAAGCTTGCATTAATTTTAAGTTTAGACATGACACATGTTGTACACATCTTTTCTGTTTTGTGCAGATGCAGCCTTTAAGTTGTTATTACTGTAAGTTTACTTGTTTTTATGTCTTCATTATGTTTATCGCCATTATGCATGGTTGTAAGATATGTTTATTATACACCATAGTTCTGTAGTCATCATGCATGCTCTAGATATCTCGTAATTTTTCCATTCATTTTTATTTGTCTAATAAAGCAAGAAATATGTATTTACATGTTCATTACAGTTTGATTATAAAATATAAAATGACTAGACTGGTCCTCAATGTTTCAACTTCAGAATGATGCCTGAAGATAACGAAACATGAGGACCAATCTAGTCATTATGAATTTTATAATTCAATGCTTTAGAACCAATTATTTAGCTCATTAAAGTTTGTCAAGTCTTGTGACTTCATTACGCTGACAGTCAGACATTAAATATTTTGAGTTGATAATGGTCAAATCTAATTTTCATTATTCTGGTGGTTCTTATAACCACTTTGATTATTATTGATTGGAAATGGGAGAATGTGAAGTAGCTTGCAGCATCAGATCGATTTTTAAGTTTGAAGCTTGACAGTTCTTCAATCCGATTGGTCGATCTTGACTTCAAACTAATCTAATTTTAGCTTGAAATAAATATTTTTAGTCATTCACATACATTCAGGCAAAATATTCCTACTGAACCAGATTGAAACAGAAACTTAAATGTGCTTCTTGTCACAAAAAAAACTACATCCATTATTAACTCTACTATATTCAAAGTTTAATCCTTAATTAAAACTTGTTGGCTAAGCACAAAATCACCTAATAACCAGCATAAAATTTTAGCACTTTTTATTACAGCAATTTTCAATATTACTTACAATAATTTACAATGTGAACTCAGTAGATGTGTTGTGCATTAAAATTTAGCCTTTCACTGCCGTCTCTCAAAAAAATAAAAGGCAGCGACTGATTAATGTTGTTGACAAAAGTGAAAGTCCAAATTTCAGCCTGCAGCTCAAAGCTACTGAGTTTGCATGATATTGAAAACTGCTATAACTGATTAAAAAGAATTTAACTTTGAAATGAAACAAATTCAAAAGAAGCAAAAAAAATGACTTGAAACATCAAAGTTTCTGTGAAGCTGGCAGGAAAATTTTACTCCAGGAAAGCTTTGAAAATTCATTTTTTTCTGGAAGTCGTTTTCCCTTGAGTTGTGCCAGACTCACAGTAAATCCTTCTTTTGATTCTGTTTCAGATGAATTCATGGCTGGCGCTGGCATATAACCTCCAACGATCGCTAGAACCTAAAACGATGTTCGCCGCTATTGTTCTTCTTCTTTATGTCTTCTTGAATTTTACCTCTGTCTTAAAATCCTTTCTACTGATTGGGCTTTGCATTGCTGTTGGGTGGGTGCTTACAAAGTAACCCCAAAAAATCCATAACTAGTTTTGAATATATATGTATATGTACATACCATGTATTTATTAGTATTTTTGCTCATTAATTTAAGCTTTATGTCAACAACTATATAGAGTATGTTGTCCTTCATGGTAACAAAATTTCTTAACATATTTACTTTGAACTTTAAAGAAACCTTTCTAAGATGGATACATAATCTTGATCAGCTTTTGCTGTTCTCAGAGGATGTCGATCTTAGAATTAGATAAGTAATATCATATAAGTATATAAAGGTCATAAACTAGCTCTAACCAAAACCTAGTCCACAAAAAAAAAAACACATAGACAAACAACAAGTCTTTAAACCATAATTATTACTCAAGAAAATCAGCGACAAGAAATCCAATGGTGTGAAACCAAAAGCTGATCTCTGCTCTGAGACTGTCTAGACTTAGCAGACACATCTGATTAAATTGTACCAGCATCAACTTTAAAATACTAGAAAATTCTTTGAAAAAATATCAGATTCGAAATTCATTTATTTTTGTTACAATTAAAAGTTCAACATATTTTTACAAGATTTTCAAGTTACTTTCCAGTAAAAATGTTTGCTACTGAATTGAGGCTACTGCCCATGCTGACCGAAGAAAAAAGTGATCTTATATTAGGTAGCATAATAGAAATAATATTAGAAATAATATTAATTAGATATTTATGTTGAGAAAGATAGATAATTATTTTCTTATACCATTTCCTTGATATTTTGATAATATTATTGATGTTTTTTTTCTAGAAGATTTAATAAGAATTATGAAAAATCATTCTATTTTAACGTACAGAAATTTATTCATCATCAAAAAAATTATTTCAAACCTAGGCCAGTATCACATTTATTTGAATGAAACCTTCTCAACCAGACTCTGCTTGATTACTTAGAAATATTATCAATATCTAGAAGGTATAGTTAAGTTTCCATGAGAAAAATAGAAATCATAAATGGATAAAAAATAGATAGAGCCACTGACTTTGTACAAGCAAATAACAAAATTAATGCCCCTATATGAAAGATTTCCTTACATCAGTTATACTTCTGAATCCTTTTAAAGGAATTTTGTATAAACCCCAGATTGTTTAATGAATACTAGGGATGGCAATTTCAATTGTTTGATACTGGTAACCTGTTACGTTAATCACATAATTATAACATATTTTTGTTAAAGCCAACTAAATATGTACATTTGACCAATATAAATAAGTATTTGATGTAATTACATAAAAATCTATTATAGAAGTAAGTAGTATAACAATATATAATATTTTTCTTTTATAATTACATGAACTCTAGGTTCGTAATAGTATTATACAAACATCGAAAATGATATTGTATTAATTTAGCTGATAATAGTCTAATACGAAAGAGAATATTATTCTTAGAATGTTATTATAATTACTAGAAAATTTAACACATAACCTTATAGTACTGTTTTGTTCAACCTGTGAAGCTCTAACAGACAGTAACTGATAGTAGAACTGAATACAAAAACTAACAGATAAGTAGTGCAATTTTTGTATGAGTGGTGAACATTATGGCATTGCCAATATACTGTATCATTATTTTATTGTAACTGTATCTACACATTGTCGTTGGATGAAATACTAGGAAATAATTGGAAACCATTTTAATGTTACGGCATGTCATACTGTGTGATGCTTTAAGTTAGTATGTATGTTTCCCTCTCACACAAAAATTGCTGTATTGTCTGTAAAAGTAATTAATTCACAGGTGAAGTCTGTGATCATTGTACTTCATGAAGATATAGCTAATACATGTGGCATTAATATTGCCTTGGAGATATAGTAAATATTAGAAGCATGAGTAACATGCCAGATACTGAGTGTAAGAGCTTAAAATCTCTCTAATGTCAAAACGACTTACATCTATTTCATGTACAAAAATTTAATGATAACCAAAATTACCTAACCTGATGCTGCGAAGTGAAATATATATGTCACCAGAGACTTCAAAAGTCATGCTGTAGATGCATATAAATTCTTTGGAATCATGTGTATCAGTTTCAGCCATCAATAGGGATTTGCACCATCACATGCCGGCCCCATTATACAGCTTGGACAGCCTGTGTTAGATGACAGAACAATAAAATGCCTTTGCTCCTGGAAATTGAATTCTTTCTCATGTAAAACTATTGTATTGTTCCTGCCATCTAACATTGCTGCTACAAATCACTTCATTTAGATCTGATTAAAATGCAGATCTGAAACTAGTCTAAATGGTTAAAGCACATTTCCCCTGTTTCGTCAATCCTAGAATATTAATTATGTCAATGACGGTATAGCTCTAGTTGGTGTTTTCAAGCATTAGCATATTGTAATATTAATTTGCCAACCATTATCTCCTAGTTCTTGTCATGTTGCTACATTTCATCAACAAATAGATCTGTCGTTGGCAAAAGCACGTCACAGCAACTAGCGCTATATAACATTGGTTTATCCACTCTGCTTGTCATAGCAATGAAAATAGCTCACATCAGAGCAACTGGGGCTATATTGCATGGCTTTATCCACCCCTTAATCCCCACCCTACCCCCCACAGTTTTTTGTAACATTGTCAAGTAAATCCTCAAAGCATTTTGCTTGAGTTTTCTTGGTGAGCTTGGGTGGTCAGTCGTAATAATTCAATGGCCATCTAAGGTCATGTGTAGTGTTAGACCTATGCTGTCATAGGTGGTTTTCCAGTGTTGAACCATTGATGAAACCACAAACTATACAGCATTATTTCCAGTATTTAATAGTATTATTTATTATGAATTTAGCGGCTACGAAAGGTGTACACCTTTTAAAAATATAATTGTCACTGTTTTAATTGCCATGCACTGGTTTGAGACAAAAGCAGTGACAGGTTAATGGGCAGTAGACTACCGTCAATCAAATAAATTGTTTCCATGTAACTTTACTTACTCTAACCATGTATTTGACTGACAATAGTCAGAAACAGTGGTAAAAAATACCAAGGGGTGTGACCACAAATGTTAGCATTCCATTGACACTTGTGAGTCTCCTTGCTGAAGGGATGGTGGGCCAGGGGTCTGAAAATGACATTATTTTGTCGATAACGAGAATGACGTTATTTTGTCTCAGTTTCATTTCCGTTGTGAAAAAAAAAACAGCTGACATTAGGACCCCCTCACCCCACACTTTAAAAAGTGCTCCGCCATCCCTGTTTTGAATCCAAGATTCAAATTTAATATTCATGGAATAATAGTTATTAGAATAATTATGATTATGAATAGATATTTATAGAGGAAGTAAGCGTTTCCTTAGGAGATATTTCCTAGTGGATAACTTTCCAGGCTGCAGCCATCAACAGAAGAATATTTTAAAATATTTGTAAATTTTTTTCTGAAGGTTGTAGAATCATGCATCTAGGCTCTAAAATCCACCAAATAAAAATCATTTGAGTGTGCCACACACTGTATATGTAGTCATTGTCATCAATAAAATTGTTAACCAACAATTCCTTGTGAATTATTGTTACTGTTTAACGAATTAAACAGCTTTTTCCATGCTTTGTTCAGTAATCAAGCACACAGGAAGTGACGAAAGCATGAAAGAAGTAATATATGAAGAAACACACTTCTTGAGTGCTTACTGGGATGGAAAAAGCTGTTTTATTCTTTTTATTATATAGTTACTAATTTTATTTTGGTATTGAATTTATTTACGCAAAAAGAAAGACATTCACAGGACCTAGCAGCACTTTGCGTGCGCAGATGGCGTCAGCACTTTGCTCCACTTATTTAGCATAGTTTTCGACAAATCACTGTGCGCGTACTATATATCCTAACTATATAATAATACATTACAAAAAGAAAAGGATTAGTTATGAGTTCATCAAGTCAATGGATAGTCTTTCATACAGCTGCTGTTAGTGTCATGTCGTAAAGCTTTCTCCCCTGGTTTGGATTTGGGAAACAGTTATTTTATTAAATCTAATAAGTGTTGTGGGCTATGATTATTGAGACTTGTAATGAATAAATGACTTGCTTCATCAATATACTTTTGTTGCTGTTGCTTTTGTGTTTGCATTTGTGGCTGTTTTTGTTGTATCTAATGTTACTGTTGTTGTGTTCGCATTTGCTGCTGCTGTTGTTGCCTTTGTTGCAGTGTTGTTGCTGCTGTTGTTGTTGCTGCTGTTGTTGCTCCTACTTCTGATGTCCAAATTTTGATGTTATCTTTAGTTTCTATCAAATTAGGGCTTTGAATAGCTCTCTGATCCCTTCAACTTTTCAACTTTTTTCATTTCCACAGGAATTCCTATCAATAGAAATAGAAGAGAGACAAAGAAGAGAAGAAGAAGAAAGACAAATAGAAGAAAGGAGAAGAACGGCAAGAAAACTCCAGAAAGAGCAACAAGAAATTATCCAACAGCAGAAAGCAGCTGACAGTAGAATAAGGCGAACAGAGAAGTCAAATGGAACAATGGAAAGAAGGTAAGTAATAAATAAATAAATGAAATGATCGCTGATTTTGTACTGGCAAAAAAGGTTTTATTTTTGGGAAGGGGATGCATGGATGAAGATAATAATATTTTTAACCAACTGAAATAGCATAATTAAGGATAATACTAGGCAATGATGATGATACATACCTTACATACTTTATTATCTTTCTCCAGTAGGGCTTTTCGAAGACAATATATTAAAAAAATAATGAAATAGTTAGATAGTAATAAAAAATATAATTCTAATAATATATGCAATTATAATGAATTCATATAATATAGATAATATGCTAAAACTGTATGTATAGATAGATAGAGTGTGAATTCACTATATCCATACAACAATAATGGAGATCGTTAGACAACACTGTCATAATCAAGATCATCATCATAATATAGTAATAATAACAGTAACACTAATATTTTAGATTATTAATTTATGACATATTTATTGCTTTAATTATGATAATAGTATTAGTAATAATAATAGGTGTAGTATTAAATATAATCAATAATACCAATAATCATCTTTGAGTAATAACAATAAATAATAGATATTATTATCTTAGAGTAACCACTTTTTATCAACGGGGTAGGACCTGAGGAATCTGCATACCTAGACTGTTATACTGTCATAGAAATATCAGCAACTGTCCTTCTCTTCAAAGGAATAACTATGATATTGTTCTTGAGCCTTCTTCAATGGCAAAAATTTGGGTAAATGAAAATACTGATGACCATCCCTCTTGGGTTGTGAAAAAAATCTTGATGACCCCCTCCCCCTTAGATTCGTTTTTGCCCTCTTGAATTACAATTGTGGGTGTAAACACAGTTCTGTTCCTGATGGTGTCATAATATTCATAAAAGGGCTATTAAGTATAAGTATCATAAATTGTTGACAATAGGAGGAGTAATGCTATGTCGAGAATAGATAAACCAGATCTTCCACCAAGGCCCTCCACTCTAGAAAGATCTAGAATTATTGACTCATCTAGAAAACCCAGAGCATCTTCTCTAGGAGCAGGGTATGTAAAGTAGAAGATAAGTTCTAGATGTAAGGGTCTCTCTTTCTCTCTCTCCTTCTCTCTCTCTCTCAAGTTATCATGGGTCTACATCTACATCTACATCTAAATCTACATAATTTATTTGCAAAATCCAAAAGGACATCTAGCAAATTCATGTGGGTCTGACCCACATAGTGCAAGAATGTAAGGGTAGTAGTTGCATTTTCATTACTTCAAACTCTCATAGTCTTAATTTTTAATGCAATGGGTGAGGATGGAATAAAGTCATTTGCAAAACCCAGGGTCTTTAAAGAACTCCTTTATAGAGAGTCATACAACCTTATATTTTCTGTAAACCTAGGGCAACTGGTCAAAAAGTAAAGGGAGAAGGGGGGGAGAGCATAAAATTATCAATAATTATCAAGAGGCAAAATTCTGGTGACCCTCCTCTTGTTTTAAGCCTAATATAGTATGACCCACTCCTATTTGAGGCTCAACAAAAGTAACCCAACCTTGACCTTTACTTTCTGACTAGTCCCCTAAGTCTAGGTACTCAATTGTTTTAGTGGTAGAAATGTTAAGATATGACTCTCCGTTTTGTTGGGCAACTCAGAGCAGTAGTAAATGCAAACACCTCACAATATTATTTAAACTTTTCTGAGTGTGGCATTCAGAAGTGCAACTCATGTTGTAGGATTAAAATTTTTAACTTTCTTGGAATAAAGTTAGTATATATATGATAGCTAAAAATAACATAATTATATGTGAAAAGAGTTTAAAAAAATGTTTTTTACCTTAAGTATAATTAAAAAATAGTTTATGTCATATTGCTAGACCTATGATTTTACCAACTAAAATGACATAGTGATTGTATCCAGTATGTATCAATGTATTTCAAAACATTTTAATTCTAATATATTTTCTAATGAAATGTTCACTAAATTTTGGTTTTTCAGGGTTGCTGGTGAAGGAGAAACCTATAGAAGTAGACAAGTAAATGTTTATTCTTTGTTGTATAGATTTTCTTTTACGAACCATTTTTTCCTACAACAGTACAGTTATTCTGTGTTCTTTATTCAAATTTACTTCAATGCATGTTTTATCCTGATTGGTCATGCTCATACTGATTTATATTTTCTTAGGGACTTTTCATTAGACATCGGAGGGGAAGGGGGGTGTTGGGTTAGAAAATGGGGAGCCTTGAAATTATAGTGGCCCTGAAAAGGGTAGTTTTGAAATAATAAATGAGATATATAGGAGTCTTCAAAATATTGAAAATAAATAAGGGATCCTGAATAAAAATTGTTGAGCGTATAAATTAGGGGTTGGAGAAAAAAACGAATTTTTTCTATTTTCAATTTTTTCACTCAAAAAGACAATTTAATATAAGGGCAGTCTATGGACTCTCTAATTTCCATACAAATGGAACATTTTCCCTTTCTCTCAGGAACAAGATATGAAAGCCAGGATGCAGCAAAGCAGAAGAGAAGCTCAGTTATCCAGGCAGAGATTAGAAGAAGAGCGTCAGAAATCAATGAAAAAAGATAGCGTATGTTTGACTTTTTTTTTAATTTTAGCATTTTTCATGCACTTATGATGACTGGTTTTTTTTTTCAGCCACTCAGTAGAGATAGTCTTTCTTCAAAGGTAATGAATGAAAATTTCAACAATAAATCTAATAAAATAATTTATTTTCCTTCCTTTCCATTTTTGTATTTACTTCCTTTCTTTTCTCTTCCCTTTTATCTTTCTCTTGCTTTATTCTTGCTCCTTCCTTTTTTTTCCTCATCCCTTTTCTTCCTTTCATTTCTCATCCTTTTTTCTTTGCTTCCTATTTCTTCCCTCCACTTCTATTTTTTTCTTGCATTCTTTTCCTCTTATTTCCCTTTTCTTATCATTTACTTATCATTTACATATCATTTACTTATCTCTTTTGCTCACTATGTATAGCAATAATATTATGTTTTTATATATTCTTTAGTGACATATAATTTATATTCTTATATAACAATTTCAATGTAAAAGTAAAGCATTCCATTATCTAACCTTTACCCTTTTCTGTATTCTTCTGTCATACAGGATAAAGACAGCAGTCAAGCCTTGCGATCACCAGAAATTGATGTCTGGGAGGTATGAATCATAGAAAGGGTTTTAAGTTTAAAGCCTAATTTAATGTTATGCAACCTACTTTACCTATTCTGCAACCTAATGATAAAAATGTTCTTTTTTCAACAGGAAAGTATCTTCCATAACATACACAAAAGATCTACCAATCTGGGCCATGTTCGCTCATGTATGTATGATATACACTGTCCTTTTGGCTTGATGTAATGATGAGATATACTAAAGTTATTGATGTTGATTGTTTAATAGTGCCTGCAGCACTCAAACAGCATGAAGATTCTAAATTCACCATGAAAAGAATGTTTGATAGTGCAAGAGAAGAGTTTGAAAAACTAGAGATACTAAGAGAGGTAAGTTGGATGCTATAGTCCCAGAAATCCATCCCGCCTCCCTCAAACCTGTGGAGAAAGTACAAATATTCCTATGCCACCACAATCTCTCTATAACGTTTCAAAATAGTTAAATAGATAACATTAGAAAACTACTTTCTCCCTTTACCCTCCTCACTTAACAATCCAAATCCTCATAGCCCTATGAAAAGGGGGGTGGTGAATGTGGTTATTTACACATGTCGCTTTTAGAGCTTGTTCACACTAGGGTCAGTTAGATCGATTCAGATCGTTCGCTCACGATTCTTATTGTTTACACTTGCATTTAGATCGATCACAAACGATCCAAACTAGACCATCTCGAGAGGTAGTTTACTTTAGATCGATCTTTATCAAACCGATCTAACTAGCAATGCGAACGACGATTTAAATCGACTCAAAATAAATCGATCTATCTCCAGGACTTTTGACCGAGGGAGGTAGTTTCCYGCCWAAGCGGACGCGCGCGCGCCTCGGGTCTTGAATGGAAAGGAATCCAGCGAATCCAGCTATGTGTTTACATACCAGCCATTACGAGCCATTACACCGTTTATAAGATGGCGAAAAGAGGAGAAACTTGGGGGTTTGAAGAAACAAACCTGCTTCTTGACTTATGGAGCGAAAGCGAAATTCAGAAAATGATCGAGGACTGCCCAAAAAGGAATATTGAAGCTTTTGAGAAGTTGGCCAAGAAACTAGCTGAATTGCGGCCAACGTTTTCACGAAGTGCAAGTTGAACGTGAATTGAAACAACAACTTACAATGCTTTGTCTCACTAGCAAACCTTGGGTTTGCACGCYAGCGCGAATCTTTAAAATGCGCTTGTATATTTTCTGTTTCCTGTGTAGCCGTTTCCTTTTAAGTTCAATTCTGCGACGAGATTTTTCTTTTAGCCTCTTTAACCTGATAAAGATGCACAAATTCACCAAAGATAGCAAAGATATAAATTCAAAACCTTGACAGTCGGCCATTTGTAACTTAAAGCCTTAGGAGTTACCATGGAAACGCTGTAAAATTACGTGTACTGCCGCTGGCCAGCAAAACAAGATGTTAACAAATGTGAACGATTGAATCGATCGGAAGCGATCGCGATCGATCTGAACCGAATGTAGTGTGAGCGTACAAGGTTTAAATTGAATCGAGTCAAAATTGGTCCGATCTGAAACGATCTAAGTGTGAACAAGCTCTTAGTTCCAAGATACATAATAATGTCAACTCTCCTTCACCCCTTTACCCATTTCTCCACTTAATCGAGAAGTTATAATGAATATCTTTCTTCTTTTTGTGCAGGCATTAGAGAGTAGACTCAAAGTAACCCTACCAGATGATCTGCCCACTTCGCTTGCCGATGGGGTGGTATTATGCCATCTTATCAACTCAGTATGCAAAGGCACTATTCCAAGTATACACATACCTTCTGCTGGGGTGGTAAGTACACACTGTTTTGCTGAGATTTCAAATCTAATAAACCCTATATATTGCCTGACTTTAAGATTTGGCCAAACCACAGCTGATCCAGGAAATACAGGAGAAGTTGGGGGTGATGCAAAGCTGATAATAAGGAAGTCTGAAGTTGGGCTTCCTGTTGCACAAAAATTCCTTACCAAGGGGAGGGTAAGGCAACTTTAGTCTCCCCTGTATATTTCATTCATTTTTTGGTATTTCTTTGGTTTTCCATAGCCCAAGCTTACCATGACAAAATGTATGAAAAATGTAGATTCGTTCCTAGAGGCTTGCAAAAAATTGGGTGTCAGAAAGGTATGTTACTTTCTCAAATTTTCTATTTCACTCTAATTTGGTATGAAACTTTTTCATTCCAAACCTCTTGGACATACTAATAATGGTTTAACTTTTGCGCTAAATAAGGCTGCGTTCATAATGTATGGCAGAGGGGGGGGGGGGCAGGTGAAATTGAAAATTTTGGTAGGAGAGAGGGGGGATGCACGATTTTTGGAAGAAGCTATAAGCCTTGCTTAGGGGGAATAGTATTTTTTTGCATGACTTTAAGGGGGGTGTTAAGAATTATTCTGGACATTTCAAATTTTCACCTGCCCCCCCCTCTTCCATACATTATGAATGTAGCCTAAATATGATGATGATGATAATGATGATGATGTAGCAGTGATGGTGCTAATGATAACAATAATGGTATAATAACGATTTCGATAATGAGTTATTATTTGAATAAATATTATCCCATGAAATATTGGTTAGTAGACTGATATTAGAGTAGTAGATCTTATAGATCTTATTTCCATTGTTGTTTTTGTCTACTGGTATTTCACTAACACACAAAAGAATTTTATTTTTTAAATTGCTTTGCTCTACATTATTCTCTTTTTCAACAGGATGCCCTTTGTTCACCTGCAGACATCCTAGAGGAGAAAAGCCCAATGAGAGTGTGCAATACTGTACAAGCACTTTTAGAAGTAACAAATTCTTAGCAGTAACTACTATTACTGAAATACAATAATATTACCATCATTGACAGTTTAGCATATTTGATTTCCTTATAAATACCTTTCGGCTTATATTATATAATTATTATTATGCACAAATCAATTTCTGAATCATTGGAATTAATTTTTGTACGAAATTACTAACTCACATTGTGTTTATTAATTAATATTATATCATAATTTTGAATTCACTTGCAATAAAACATTACCCGTGTACCAGAGGTTCTGCTGCCCAGGGATCATGACCCAGTTGCAGAGGAACACTGGCACTTGAATTTAGGCATGGTGGTTTGGCAGGGTAAATTTGATGTCTAATATTTTAATTCGTCATACAGAAAAGATTGGAGAGTTTGTTGTTTTACTGCTTGATCTTTACATCACTAGACTTCCTCAAAGACTTCTAGGCTTTCTGAATAAAGTATCTGGCTCTATTAAAATGTTTATAATGTGACTGTTCTATCTTGACAGTATTGCATTCTCACATCATTAACAAACTGACTCTAAACCAACTTCATAATGTTGAATAGGTTAGTTAGGAGCAAATTTTTTAACCTTCCCATCCAACCATTAACAAAACCTTAAGGGTTGAGTGATCTCTGCAAGCAGGGTATGTAGTTAAGTTTGCTTCTTGTTCTTCTTGGTCATTGCAAATGTGAAAACCTATGCACCTTATATCATGCTTAATTTATACAACACAAGCTCAGGGCTTAAGAAATGGCTGGACATCAGACGAGCAATATCCAGCCAGAACTGGGATTTGTTCAGTCAAATATTTGCCTTGCCAGTCATTTTGACCAGTAACATTTAGCCAGAAATGAGGTATGACTAAGCTAAAACTAATTTGGCCTGTAATCATAATCAGTGACTGATCGGCCATTATTTTAAGCCCTGTAAGCTTTAATCAATATCCTAGTTTAGTTACAGAATTAATGAAGTTTCAACATGGTTCAAGATTCCCAGCCATTGTACATTCTTTTAAAAAGCACCAGGCTACCTAAAAAAAACGAAACATTTGGTTGTCAAGGAAACATGAGAAGCACCCTAGATATAGTTGTTATATTGGTCAAATATGTATCAGTCAAATCCAACAGGTGGTCTATCATCAATGCTGCGTTCTGATTGGATGAACTACTACCAGACTATAAGTTATATCCTACTAGTATTGAAAAGTGCCTGCTTCGAAAACCAAAACATTAAATTTAACTGTAATTTAAAACGTGCTTGCATCTATATATTTGACCGACTAGTTGGATTTGACTAGGCTCGAGGACTAATTGTTAATTATTTACTGCAGATTCTGGATTCAATTATTTAGCTTATTTTAACGAAATTTAAATATTAAAAATAATGAAAAATTGAAATAGGAACTTGATTTGAAAAATTAGGATAGGTAGTGATGTTCCTGAACACTTACAGCACAACACTCAAAAGTATGACCACATTAATTATTGATTCTCATACTTCTATGTACGGGTTAAACAAACACATTTCAATGAGAGGCTGGCTTGTTTTACTAGATAAGGAGTTCAAAGGCTTGTTTGGCAGGAAAAAGTCAGTGCATAGAAGTATGCAGATACATTAAATGTGATCATACTTTTGCGCTGTAATAACTTGTTTGGTAAACTATCTTTTTAATCCTGCAAGTTAGTCTGGTTGTATTTCAAATATAACTGAAAGAACGGTAGACCTTTCCTGAATTTACTTGGATCAACACAGCTCAAGGTTAGGCCAAACAAAACAACAAGCATGTTTCCTGTTGCACAACTGACCCTAACTTTCTTGCCAAATTTTGCCAACCCTTATTATTTTCATTGCCAAATGCATGACAGGGTTCCCAGTAAGCTCATTTCAACTGTTGTATCAGTAAAAAAAATCTGACCTACCGAGACCCCAATTATTTTTCTCATGCAACAGGAAACACACTTATTTTTTTGTTTGGCCTTAGACTTGATAAATCATAGAGTATAATATGTATACAAACATCAAGTCCAGCATCAGTCTAAAACCATTGTAGTCAGTCAAGTGAAATCTGGAACAGTCTACTACTCAAGTATATAAAAACACTCTTTAAAAAAAAATTTAGATCTACTGGTAGATTTTTCTACTACAAGGTTTGACAATGGTAAATGATGTGTTCTGCTGCACAAAATATTTTGTAAACCAAAACCTTTTGTAAATAATTACAGAATTCCTTTGAATAACCTTGGGGAAAACCAGTATAACATTTAATAAAATCTAAATTACAGACAATGGTATCTAGTGATATTGCACCTATCCTCTTGACCCACTGCCTAGTGTCAAAGAAGGAATATATTGGCCACAACCCCAGCCCTTGATGCTTGATGGGATAGGATGGGGAACAAGTGAGGAAAGGTTTTGCAGTGCATAATTGCACATCACAGTAAAATCATGGAAAAACATTAAAGAAAATTTAAAAAGAACTGTAACCTCTTTCCTTTTGGGCACTATGGGGGCTGGGCTCACAACTATGAAATAGTAGATTCCAAGTACGCCTCTAATCTAGCCTTGAAACCTCCATTACCCCACACAATCTGGTTTTTCAGTGGCTTTAGAGTAAGCACTAAACTCAAACAAATGCTAGTAAATGAAATTACCAGAAGTTGGTTTAAATCCACAATTCCATTTACTGTTTGATGGATTCAGTGCTGGTGCTCTACTGCACAAGTATGAGCGTATACATGCACGTGAGCATATGCGCATTACAAATATTAAAAGCTATTACCTAACAAAAACTTTAACACACAAACTGTATGACAATTTGTAATTTTATTCTGAATAGCTCTTCATTACAGATCACTCTTCATCTCCCTCGCCCTTCGTAGCCCTGGTGTAAATAAGCTGAGCACTGTGCTTTGATACTTCCTTGATAAGACCTTTATTCTTGAGCTCCAAGAGAGCACGCCTGGCAAGAGAGCCACGGATYTTTAGTCTTTCAGACACAACAGAGGGAGTAATGAGCCTGTAGCTTGGGACCTCCTTGTAGAGCTTGTCATATGTGGCCTGGTCAAAGAGGACCAAGTTGTTGAGCTTGTCACGGACTTTTCCCTTGGACCACTTCTGCAAGATGCAAAGATAGAGCACTTTAAGTAAATTGAAGCCCAATGCCCTTTGGACTTGATGCATAAAAGAATCAAGTTCAGTCTTCACACCATTGATTTGTGGTCATCCAAGCGAATTTGGTAAAGGTTTTGTCTATTAAATATTAATAAATATAGTAATAGATCATAAGCTAGAGTGCACGCACTAAACCCGTGAATAATATTTAGTTCTAATTAGTAGTAATTCATACAGAATCCGGCTTCGTTTCCTATTGCTTGATTATCACTATATAGTACTAAAAATTAGTATTTGTTTCACAGGTTTGGTGCGAGCACTCTAGTAACATTGAGAAGACACACTAAAGATGTGATTTTACCAACATGCCTCACAATGCCCTAACAAGTGAAAGGCTCCTAAGTTTAAAACACAATCTTTTAAAAAAGGTATATGCCATGACATAATATATTGCTTTTAGACATGGACAATGCATCAACAGAGGGACAGTTTACATTACTACCTAAGGGTTTGACAAAGGGAAGTTCAATCCCACAACCCCTTACAAACACTACATTAAAAAATATTGACTCTGACCTGAAATCAGACTTCTTGAGTCAACTGAGTGACTGTTTACAACCCTACGCATGAATGTGCCATGAGGTATTTTCTCCTATAACTATCGTATACAACACGCTGTCATAGGCGAGTTGTAAGCTTGATTTACACACTACAACTCAAGTTGTAGGAGGTGTGAGCGTGTAGTATACCATAGTTGTCGGCGAAAATCGTACCATCTAAACCGGCCTTTAGGGGGTTCATATAAACTTAGGTGCTCAACCTCAACACTAGACCAATGTTCTAATAACAAAGTTACTGACCTTCTTCTTAGCCTTCCCACCACCAGAGCCTGTTGGCTTCTGTGACTTCTGGGGCTTCTTAGAGTCCTTCTTAGGGTCCTTCTTGGGTGGCTGTTAAATAAAGCAATAATAGTAAAGATCTGAACACTCACAATGCATAAAAAACATAGGCATTACCCATCAATTGTTTCAAACGACAATATGAATCCTATTGCTATGACATATAAACTCCTATATAAGCTTGACCTTAACTAAGTTTATGTAATGTCTGAAATGATAAAAACTAGTCTAAAATATAAAGTTCAGTTTAAATTTCAAACAAGGTGTAAATTTTTAAATCATTTGATTGCCCCTTATATTACAAAATTTCGTTTCAATGACTAAGGAAAGAATCATAGAGCTCTTAAAAATACGATAGCTGTGGCTAAGGGAAGCCATTTTGAATCAATCGTTCAACCCAACACGTGATATTTTTATTGATCAAAATCACATTTAAATCTATAAGAATCTAGCTTTATTTTTGTTCTGCCCTATTAAGGATATATCTATTTATTTCACTGTTAAGTTTTTGTAGTACTATCTACCGATATAACAGAGAAAAGGCCTTTTATTCTAGAGTCGTTTCGACCAAACTCACCATTCTGTCTCGAAGATGTAAAGAGAAAGAACATGTGGAGCAATATACCCTAGAGGGGGATCAATCTATTGTTACGCCTAGCCCCAATCTCCTTGGCCTTGCAACTCGATCGTCAAATATATTCATTTTCTGGAATTCCCAAAAATATTCGCTTTAGAAGTATTCTGTGTAAATATGAAACTTTATTTTCTTTTCAAGTTAACAAATTCAGTGGTTTTAAAAAGGTTGTAAAGGTGACTGGAGATTTGCGATGTTTTTTTCATTGGGTTCCCTTTGTTATGGTTTGAGAATAACATCCGCTGGATCACATTTTCGAAAAGCGCGGCCTCAAGCATGGCGGACGATCGTTCTCTTTTTTCATATGAAGAAATAATTTAGCCTTTACTCTTCCTACAGTTAAAGTTATGTCCCGAAAGGAGGTGAGAATCTTACAGCTCTTTTATGTCGTCGCTCTGGCGTTTAGAAAGCTTTTGAAGGATATTTTAAGTCGAGAAAAAAACTCGCTTACAAAGCATAAAAATTAGTACAAAACTGGAGCAAAAATTTTAAAAATACGAATATTTTGTTAACTTTTTTGAATTGCTCTATCTTTCGATGCTAGATCAAAAAGGGATGCGTGGCCCTTGATCTTAGGGTGAAAAAGTTTCAAAATTCTTTGACGAATCAGTATGAAGAAATTCCAGAATTGGTAAGTTAAGTCAAAGTTTGTTCACTTTACCTATTGGTAACCTTATTTATTTATTTTCATTATTTTTATTTTTCTCTCATAGGATCCAAGATGGAAAGAAACAGTTCAGTTTGTCTCCTACACTCCACTTCCCTTCCAGTTCCTCAAGGGAAACAAACAACCAGTGGTCACAGATGATGCAAGTCTTGAAGAATGGAAAGAAAGAGGAACATTCATCAATGATGATTTGAAATGGCTGCTTTGTTTAACTCACAATAAATTCTGGTGTCAGGTAAAAATGATACTTTTTATTTACATCTGTTCTTTCTCATGAAAACGAAAAATCTTTTGAAATGGGGTCCTTTTCCCATTTCTCAGCCTATTTTATCAAAACTCCAGTCACAATAAAAGATGTTGGTGAGAAGTTGGTGATTCTGTATCCCATTCTTAGTGACCTAAATCTTATTCCTAGTAAACAATAACCCTATCTTTCAGTGTAAAATATATAAACGAATATGTTATGATATTTTATCCCACTTTCAGAACCGGAATAATCAAAATTCAATTAAACAATTCAAAAGTATTTTACGATTTTTTCTAGGTAATCTTTGATGAATCTCTACATGCTTGCCTTGATAGTTATTTAAAACATGCTCCTAGGTAAGTTAAATACCACTATTTAAGGAAAAAATTGGAGAAGGTTTTTGTACATGTTACATACCAAGTCAGAAAAGCACTATGATGATGTGGATCCAATTGGCAAAAGGCCACAATGATATGAAATTTTATAAAACTTCGATGGCATATAATTATATTTTCTCCTGCTGACATTTTTTTACATATTTAAATTTCTTAGTATCAATAACATGACTTTTTAGCATTGCCTGGGGGGGGGGCAAACAAATGGTTGAGGGGCAACTAACTAATGTTTCATACTTTACTTCACAGAGCCTTTGATTTATGGCATGTGACACTACCAGATAAACTGGCTGCTTTACAGCATGATATCAACAAGAGAGTATTCATGGTATTATTGAGAATGTCTACACACAAAGAATCCAAGGTTTGTTCTCATTTTGTATCAGTTTTCCATCATATTTCAATGCTGTTAAAAATTGCAAATTGAAATAAAATTTGAAAGTTTGATGTAAACCAAATGAAAGTATATTTTTATTGTGAAAAAGTGGAGGGGACTAGTCACCCCCTCATCATTCCTGGATCCCCCCACCCCACGTCAAGTCAAGATAAAGGAACTCCACTGTATTCTTGTGCCAGTACTTTTTTTATGGAGCTGATCATTCAAGTGTCTGATGTCCATCCTCGTAAGGAAGATTAATGCTCATGAATTCCATGACTTCTACAGTGGTTTGACCTATTATATTCCCTAATGTTCATTCACTTATTATATGTATTATTGATTACAGGATTGCTTTCTTACTCCAAGCACCTTTGGTGAAATAATTTATGAAAACTTTCTCTTTGACATTCCAAAAATTATGGACATCTGTGCTGTCTATGGCGGAAGGGAAAACAAGCACCACTCTCTTCTAAGAAAAATGATTGAAAATATATTTGATAAGCAGCCTAAGTAAGTTAATCACTATTCTTCTTATAAAAGACACTAACAAGGGCGGATCCAGGGGGGCAAAGCTTCAGCAGAAAAACAAAACAAAACAAAACTGAAGAATTAGATGCTTTTTTTTATTGTTTTCCATTGTGTTGACGGAAAAAACTCAATTAGCCCCCCCTTAAAATTTTGGCTGGATTCGCCCTTGACTAAACTTACTTGATAAGGAGCAGATTTTGGGGGGAGGGGGGAAGGGGGAAGGGGATGGGACTGCAGCAACCCCTCTTCCCTTTAGTTGGGGATGTTTCTTTTCTACCTTTTTTTTTTTGTCCAAAATATTCTCAGAATGCAACAAATTGCATAAGGGAAACCATATTTTAAGAAATTCGTTACGACATGCCCTCAGACCTCCTCTGGTTTGGTTTTCCATAGTAAGAGGTGAGATTCCCCTAACACCAAATTTATATGCCCCTGCCCTTCTTAGATTCTTGAATACAGCTATTATAGAAGTTTCAAATGCTTCAATGCTTTTCAGGTATTACGATGACCTGGATCAAACTATCCCAACTTTAATGGAAACTTTAAATAATATAATTGCAAAATGTGGACTTGAAAACACTTCTGATGCTTCGCCCCAAAAGCTAAGTGAAAGGGCTGCAATGTCTGAAAAGGAACTCAGTTCAAACGAGGTTGTGGATATTGTGTTATACCTATCAGACATTGGCCACACTCTGATGAATTTTATGGAGATTTTTCCATCTTCTTGTCAGTATTTCTTCAAGCATGGATTTGTTTCAGGAGTAGCGAATTTGTTCGAAGAAATTATTCCATTTTTAGGAAGTAGACTATCAGCAAAGGATATGAAATTTTTGAGGCCGGAATTAGAAGTGGTCATGACTTTACTGGTAAATGTTTGTAATTTCGTGTTGAAGACCTGTTGCATTGAACCATTGTTGTCCAGGTAAGAAACTACATTCTACATGCTTGGCTTGAATTTAGATCTCAAAGAAATCTGTTAGTATTTCATTCATTTCTTTTTTATTTATTTACTCTGTCTCATTACCATTGCTTATTCCTTGATCCCTCATTCTCTTTCTGCGTCCTCCCTTTCCTTCCATTTTTCCTTCCATCCATCCATTCCTCCCTTTTCTTCCTCCTCTCTCTCCTTCTTTCCTTCACTCCTTTCTCGACATTCCGTCTACGTGCCTGTCTTTTTGTTTTTATTCTCATAATAATCATTCTTTATACCATCCATTTTTGTTTTCTTCTAATGTCAATTTCCTTTCCCTTTATTTCTTTAGATTTTATTCCTTCATTCACTCATTCTTTTCAATTTTGCTCCAAATCCATTATATATCACATAATCTATTGATTATTGGTATCTTAATTTTTTTATAACTACTCCGCAAGACCAATTTTGAAATCATTTACAACATTTCTCGTAGCTTACCAGAGGGTATACAGAAACATGTTGAAGACTATTGTCAGATTCTAATGTCAATACTATCGGAAAAAAGGTAAGAAGCACACAAACAGATTGGATTTTTTAATAACATTTTGGTTGTTGCTATTTTGCTGCAATTTATCAACATTATATGTTGATCCCTACAATTTATTGCGAATGTTCTCATATGCAAGGAAGTTATTTGTCCCACTCCCAGAAAAAAACAGTTTTTAGAGAGTAATAACAGCAGTCTTTGTAATAACTTTCGAATTTCTCATATCAACATTATCAGAAAAAAGTTTTAAAAAACACAAACTGATTTGGATTTTTTTAATAAGATTTTTTATTTTTTTGTTATTTTTTTATAATTACTTATCAACATCATATGGTTGATTGCTACATTATTTTACAAATGCTTTTACAGTAAGAAGTTGTTTGTCAGTTGTCCAGAAAATGGTCTTTAGAAAAAGAGATATGCTGGTGACAGTACAGATTTTGAGTAGATGAACAGATACAGAGCGTAAAGTTCATCATTCTACTTTAAAGTAAACGATTTTGGCATGTACATGTAATTCAAGCTATGTTTTTGTAAAAATATTTTTACTCAAATATTATAAAAGAGGCATTAGTCTGGTTTTAGTAGCAAGGACAGAGAGTGAAAATTAAAGTTCACAGATTTTTTTTCAAGTTTTTTGTGGCCTAAAAAGGCATCAAAAATTAATGTGTTTTTTGATCACAGATTAAGAAATAAGCATTTGTGTAATTTTAGTGACAAGGACAGTAAGAGGTTGCTGAAAATGTGAGTTTGTAGAATTTTTTTTGAAATTTCTCTGCAGTCTAAAAAAAAGGCGTTTAAGAGCCGGAGTAAAGTTCAACATTTCAAGGTCGTTTGGAAAAGAACGAAATGGAAATAGTTACTGTATCAGTCTTTTAGTTTTTTCTTCCTGGGATGATTAATGATCCTCGATCAGCTGTTGGGAACCCTGTGTCTTTTCCTTTTCTGAATCTTCAATCAGAATAGGAGAGTGACTCTTTGGTGACCGTAATCCCAACTCTACCTCAATAGGAACAATATCATCTGCTTTGGTGTAGTAGTCGTACAAAGACTGCTTTGAAGTAATAAATGATGCACCCTCAGCATTAGAAAGTCTTGCCACCACCTCTCCATCACTAGCAATTCGTAGAGGTCTGGCGGCTTTCATGTGCGGAGTAGTGTCCTCCTTGGTAACAGTCACGTGACTGGGGACATGGGTCACGTGGCTTGGGTCTTCTTGTGCTAGTCTTGATGATCCGGTGTTCAGTAGGTGAACAAGGAAGTCATAGTAATCACTTATCACTTCTCCACCCCTTCTTTGTCCGTCTGATTTATAGAATATTCTCCTATGTTCGTCTTCAGCATGGCTGGCATCGGTCATAGACGATGAAGGAGTCTTAGAATTCTTCTCCATTTCTCCGTGCTGCGATTTATTGTGAAACATATCTGCATCACTACTTTGTGCATTTTCAACAAAAGCTTGTCTAATTGCTTTCTTTGCGCCATTATCGTTGGTTTTTGAAGCTTTGGGGATCTTATATGCACTTAAGTTTTTGTCATCTCTMGTCAGTATCTCTGAGGTGGCTTTTCTGTCTCCAAGACTTGAACTGCTGTCAGAGTCTTTGATCACCTTGCTGTCGCTCTGGCTTGTTGTTAACAAAGTGGAGCAGGCTGCTCTAATAAACGTGTCATTTCTGGGCACACCTCTCACAGAGCTGACCTCAACGTTTCTACAAACGTTAGCCGCTATAGTATCATCCCTTGAGCCGTCCCTGACGCGGGCTCCCTGTGTTGGATGCTGGTTCTTTCTCACAGGGTTCGTCTCTAACATGCTTAAAAATTCATCCATTGCGCTGTCATTCTCAGAGCCTGAGCCCCGAGAGCTCGTGTCCCAGTCCAAGCTGTAGTCACTAACTTCTCTCGAAGATGTTATCTCGTAATCGAGAAAGTCTTTGTTCATCTTTTGATCTGATATCCCCGAGGTTTGCGCGGCTGTTTCCTGCCAGTCAAGTATTTCCCCAATTGACAGATCTTCTTCTGAACTGCCAGACTGTAAATTAATGAAATCGTCGTGTACTTTGTCGCGCGTGTCGGATGTTCCTGAGTTCTCTGGGGTAACCTGCCAAGCAAATCTCTCCTCGTCGGTGTAATCATCTTTCCGTGCAGATAGGCTGTTCTCGTTGTCGTGGCTGTTCTCGCTGTTGCTTGGTCTTTTCATCATATTGTCAATCATTTTTAAACTCGCTGACTCCAAGGTTACGGTCTCCTTGAAATCTTCATCTCTTGACATGCCGTCTATTTTAGCCGTGCTTGATTCAGCGTTGCTTGAGTACTTTACCATGGTGTTGTTAGTTTCTTGTGTTTTGAAGCTCACGGCTGCGGTCTTTTTGGCAAAATTGTCGGCACCTGTAGTGTCGTTGACATCATTGTCTTTCATTGATAGGTTGTTTTCTTTCACAGAACTAGTCTCAATGTCGCTACAACTTGTCTTCTTGCCGTCTTCCTCCGATCTTCTCATGGCTGTGTTCTCCTTAGCAAATGTCTCCTCCCTTAGCAAGTTGAAGCTTTTCTCTGCGAACAAGTTGTCCTCTAGATCTCCCACGCTGATATCAAAGTTGTCAGAACTCTTCGTCTCTTGGTCTTTCTTCTCCGAAGTCTTTGTCAAGGAGGTGCTCTCCCTAACTCGTACATCGTCAACTGATGTCTGTGACCTCAACGTTGTGCTCTCGTCCTTAGCAAATGTGTCGTCCATTGGCAAGTTGAAGCTTTCGTCTCCCTTCATGTTATCTGCAACAGAGCTGTCAGACCCCTTCTTCTCATTATCATCATTCTCCGATGTCTTTGTCAGGGAGCTGGTCTCCCTAACTTGAACATCCTCGACTGACGTCTGTGGGGTCGTCATTCGTAGCTCTTTGTCAGTGCTGGGCAACACCTCCGCACAGCTAAGCTTCACTGCGCTCTCACCTTGTCTCTCGACTTGCGTCGCTTCTGTTTCCATTATCCCAGCACTTGATTCCTGAACGACTCTCTTCTTCCCCTTGCCTTTCTTGGATGCTCTGCGTTTCTTTGCTTTGGTGTTCCATGGGTTTTTTGAGTTCTTTGAGTGCGAGGGGTTGCTGTCTCTAGCGGCGATGGCCCTTTTCCTGGCTGAGCTATCACCGTACAGATCGCGTGGTGTTGGTAATGCTCGTGCGCTCGCCTTTGCGTCGATCAACTCCTGCTCCCTCAAAGTAGAAGCCCGTGGTAACTGTAGTGCACTGTCGTTGAAAGCAGGCGTCGTTCCTTTCTCTTTATCCTCGCTTGTCTTTTTCTGGAAAATTCTTYTCAAGAAGCTGGTTTTTCTTGGAGAATTGGCATCGCTTTTGTCCCCGTTGCATGTCGCATTTTCTCCTTTCTTTGACCAGGTGAGGCCAAATGAAAACCACTTTTTGCTTCGCCTAGAATCTTCCTCTGGCTGATCGTTGGTCCCATCTGATATATACTGTCCGTGGTCACTTCTGCTATCACTTGATTGGTTTATTGCCGTGTCGGTTTTGGTGTGTTCTTGTGCGTTGTTGATGACTGATGGTTTATCAACGGCTACCAGTAGAGCGGCGGCGTGAGACTGGCCTGTTTGCTCGTCATCCAAATCCCCATCTGTAACAAATATGAACATCAAAATCCAATGTGACCTCGTGTTTTAGATTTCCCAAGCATGATAATATATAGTTTTCTTTCAAACAATTAACTAGATCTAGATGGTCTTATTCTTTCTAAATTTCCCATTCCATTCCCGTCAAAACTATTGCGCGCGCTCTTTATTATTATTATTATCAAATCCATTCCCCATACAACAATTGCACGCGCACTATACTTGAATGATCCAATCCAGCAACTTCGTCTCTAATTGAAAGTTCTAATAAGTGCTCATCTTCTAATTGATAATTATTTTGAGCAATCAGTTTTCAATCCCGTCACCTTTCATTCCAACGTAATGCGCATGTTCTAATTGTACAGTAACCAATAACAACGCTTTACATTCTCGAACCCAAAACCTTCTCAGCTTTCTAACGAAAAATCGAAGGCTCTGAAACTTATCTTTATGTTTTTGAAATATTATATTTTCGAACAAATCAGTCAGAAAAGCGTAGAATATTTTTACCAAGTGCGGGTTAAGTTACTCTTTTCACGGAAACACTTTTCCTAAAGAATTCAAATTTCCAAAGAATAAAAAAGATTTCTTACCGTCATGATCTTCAATCACTATACCGTTCCACACACAGCAAAACACGACGCTAACCAAGCCGTGCAGAAAGCCCGCGAATCGTCCCGAAGGACGAGGGCTACTTCGACGATTTTCTCGTCGTTGCTTGAGATTCATCTCAAATCTGAAATCCAAACATGGTCACGCGTCAGTACGAAGTAAATATCAAAACCGCGTGCGTGAAAAAATGTTTTGCGAAAATGTCCTAAAACCTTGGAAAAACTCACCAGTAAAAACTGACAGAATCTTCTCCCAAAACACTGCCATTGCAGTGCTTTTTGACGGCTGGTTCAACTAGTTTTTGATACGGAATTGATTAAAACCAATTCCGTTCAAAAGAACGCTGTTTTCTACGAGAAATGTAGAAAACTATTAACAAGTAATTGGGTAATTGATTGTTGATGTCACAGCTGCGTCATCTGTTAATTGAAACTAAATGGTATTAATGATATTAAATGATAATTGAGTAATTAACAACCGAGATTCAAATGAAAAATATTTTATTATTATTTCTGCTCAGCTTTGCGCAAGATTGAAAGTTCAAAGGATTTCAATTTTTGCGCAGTTTTGCGGAAGATTGAAATAAAATTTTTTTTTTTTCGTGCGCAGCTTTAATTTGGATATTCATCAAAATAAGGATTTCTATTTTTGCGCAGTTTTGCGAAGTTATTCATCAAAATAAGGATTTCTATTTTTGCGCAGTTTTGCGAAGTTATTCATCAAAATAAATTAAATTTGACAGATAATTTATTGTTCAGTTATTGTCGATTCTTAGACCCCGTATCGCAACATCCCAACAAAGTTATCAGAGAAGGTTGCTTTTTACATTTTTTCCTAGGTTCATAAGCTGGTATGACGCACAGTTCAGCATAGAGAATGACCTCATCACAATCCAGTCGTGTCCTGGATCAACTCTTGATGCTACTCGTGTAGAATATATCATCCAAGCCATTCACAGCGCACACGAGGCTCATCCTAACAAAACCAAGAGAAAAGACAAGAAAACCAAAAAAAATGCGAATGAGGTGACTAGCGGCGAAACGCTAGGAGGGGTCAATGAGTTTGTCGAAGAACAGGAAACTAGGCGTCAAATCTCGAGTAATAAAGTAAGGACTTGTCCACTAATATTACTAGCTCTGAGAAATGTCCTAACTATTGTGCTTCGGCAGTCTTTGCGGTTGCCTATTGTTAAGATCATTTCTTCCTGAATGTCTCTCTCTCTCTCCCCGTTACCGATTGCAGTTCAGATTCGACTTCGACTCCAATATAATGCTATCAAAATCATTTCCATGTAGGGCAGGTTTGGATATTTTTTCTCAGCCTTGACTCCCGTTATGACTTGATTCGACAATGAAGATCAATCAGTTTAGATATTTTCTTTATGGCGTAATTACTTAGGTCCAGTTGTACGAAGAATGGATAGCGCTATCCGACGAATAAATCTTATTCAGTTGATGAAATTTATTGAATATCAGCATTGTGTTATCTTTGTTTTTATCTTTGGTTGTTAACCTCGTGTTTTTTCTTACTGTTGTCCAGGAACTTGGTGGTGCCTCTGTTCCACGTGATGACGTCGATGACGTACAACTGGATTCCATGACAACCAGTGTACGTGACCTGCTTCCAGGCCTGGGAGAGGGATTTGTCATCAAATGCTTACAAGAATATAACTATGATTTTGAGAAGGTCATCAACGCTGTTCTCGAAGATAACCTGCCTGAATCACTTAATAAACTAGATAGGACAATGGACAAGGCTCAAGCACTGAGCTCACAAAATGAACCCAATAACTTGATATCCACAAGGCATTCAGTGTACGACAAGGATGAGTTTGACGTCTTCACGCAAGGGGACAAAATCGACCTGTCCAGGGTACACAAGGGTAAAAAACGCGACGAGGCAAAGTTAGATACCCTATTGGCTGATAAGAGTCACATGACCGAGTCTGTCAAGAACCGGTTAAGCAGGTATGACGTGTATGGCAAGTTTGAGATAGAGCCCAAGTATGACGAGTATGATGATGAGTATGACGACACGTACGACGCACTGGATGTGGGCGCACAGGATGATGACTCGGCTGATGAACTAACAACACGAAGGTGCGAATAATACTTGGTTACACTGTAGCTCTTAGTGTAGTGTAATCGCGCTCGAACTAACATTGTGTTTTTTTCAACGCGCGCTGTTAAGACGGAGTATGGAAGGGAAACATTGGATTGCGAGTGCGATATACCGCCGATATCTAGCAATAGACCTCTTTAGCTTGGGCGTAATTCCTCATAGCATCATTTCTGTGTCTAGCGGTTGCTTATGAGAAGACACATGAATATGGATACAACTCAAACAAAGAACCTTATTCCCAAGAGAATGACATGTAGTCTGAAATGGGAAAACATTACGCTCGATCTAAAGAGTTCCCACTTGGGATTGGGGGCGATAATCTGCTATGGGTTAGCAGGATAGATGACACCCTAGTTCAAATTCGCTCCGTGTTAACAATTTTTATTTTATCAACAGACCATTCACTGTTCCTCGTGTTCTCGGGAAACCCGTTGATCAATCAAGCGAGAGTAGCGAAGAGGAGGAGGGTGAAGAGGAAGCGAAGGAAGGCGAACAGGACGAAGGTGCCAAAACTGAACAACAAACCCGGTGGAGAACCCCCGACAAGAGACCCGGTAATCGGGGATTTTTCAGAGATGGACCCGATGCCAACAGAGGAAGAGGAGGACAGGGGCAACGCGGGCAGGACAAAGGGAGTGATCGTGGTGGTTCTGGAGGGGTAAAAAAGGGGCAGAAAGGTAAAGGAAAGGCTAAAGCACCACCGGACCCCGCGACACTCAGAACCAGGGCACTAAAGGAACGGAACAAGGGACAAAGAGCGAATCATAATAGAAAGGCTGGTGCAGATAGGAAGAGGAATAAAGGAATGGGGCCATTACCGCCACAGTAAGCACAACACACCTATTCACCTTGCGTTATTCTCTCGAGTATTACTCCGTCGCTGGCCGGTAACGTTTGAAACTCAAAGGGTCTCATACCCAAAGGAATGACACATGGTATGAAATGGAAATATAATACGCTCACCAAAATGGGTCTAAATTTAAGATATTTTTGAAGGTCGCAAAAAGTTTCCACGCAAGAACCAACGTAGTATTAAAGTAGTGCTAAATAGTTTCAGACGAATGTAGGAAGGAACCAGACTATTTCTTAGCTTCTTGGTGCTGAAACGCGTCTTACCTCGAATTGTGTTATAAACGTTAATACTCGTTTTGAAATTAGAAGGCCAATCTCCTATGGCATTATGGGACCGAACAGGTCCATCATCTCGTAATCCCAAAACAGTCCCACGATTTCATGCATAAGAACTTATGATTCGTTTCGGATGGAAATCCGAATTTCGGATTCACTTGGTCATCACAGAATGTGTTTAAAAACAATTGTTGTCGATGTTATGTAATGACATTTTATTACGGCTCGATTACATAACGTTTATTCCATATCCACCCAAATATAAACCCAGATATTATAATTATATTGTTAAATTTTAAATTAATCTATTAAAATAAAATCCTTATGAATGTGGTTGAATTGTACAAAAACATGATAAATAATCCAAAATTATTTCAAAAAAATTAAAATTCTGGTTTCCTGGGAATAAAGAATTCTTCTCGATCCGCTATCTGTCAGTACAGTTTTGCCCTACTTGCCTCAGTCTTATTGAAGCGTTTCAAAACGAGTTTTATGGGGCAAAAAACTAAAGATTTCAGTCTTATGAGAAACATGGCCGATTGACTAACTGAACTTGATTTTCTCATATTTTTAAGTATAAAATATCCTATCCTGCTGGTGACTAATCAAATCGTTTTTAAATTCTATATCGAGAAAGCTTTTGCCTGTCAGTGAATTTGACATAATCTTAGCCATGTTGGAGGATAGGAAGTCGATCCAACATGGCTGACAAATTTATTTGGAATAATTACCGAGACCAAGAACTGCGGGGAAAAACAAATCTTGAAGAATTCTCCATGCAGGTAATTGAATTATCGCTGATAATTTATCGTTATTGTTATCCTAATTTAGCTGCTAATAATAATATGGCTACACTTCCGCACAGAAATAACGATGGACCTAGAGTACTACTTGTTCTTGTTTCATCTGCGAACACAAAACGAGATTCGTTAGTAAAAAAAAAACGAGAAAGCTCCACACTTTTTAATCAGGGAAGCTTTCACAAATTGTCAGAGCTTGCCACAAGAAAAACTCGACTCTCCTTATACCACAACCGCCACAACTAATGCCAATACCACCACAAATTACCGCCACAATAAACCCCCTAAAAACTGGAGAATGACGCATCAAAAAGGTCATTCCAGAACTGTTTTTCCCTTGAGGGGATTGCTATCACCGGACTTCCTCGCTATCTCTATACAATTTAATTAAACTTTAGTATGAGGCGTCGGGAGTCGGCTCTGTAAATAAAGTGATTTGACTTGCGGTGAAAACCGGCATCGACTTCCGCTAAGCAAGCAGCCGACATCAGGTCGTTTTTAAAATAACTTTACATCCAAACGAGCCGATAGGAGGAAATAGTTTTAACAAAATGAGATGATATTATTGGTCGTGCATAGAGTATGGTCAAGTAAACTGTAACTGGAATATGTAGAATGTGGTTAGTTATTAATAATGAGGTGAAATACTACCTTTAATTAAGTGCAAGCCGTACGAATCAAATTAATGCGAAATAATTAATTGAGCAAAATGAGGTTAATTTAAGTAACCTTTTGTTATCTTGATTAACGTTGTTAACAATGCGCTATCTTGGCCAGGATAAAGTTGGTAAGATAGGAGGTAAAAGAAAATTACAGTGATCACCAGTACAGTTTTTGCCATCTTCCTTTGGTCGTTATGTAAATGCGGCTATGTTACCAAGTGTTTGACAAAGAATTTATCGCGGTTTTTTTTTTAGTTTTGTAGTAGCACAAGACCATCATCAACAAGTCTGCCTTATCTTTTTGATAAGGCTCCGTCCACACATATCCAGATATTTTTGAAAACGGAATTGCTTCTTCGCGGATTGGCCTTACGTTATCCTCGGAAACTCAGGGGTAAAGTTCTGTCGCTTGTTTGGTTATTTTTTCTGGGAGTGAGAAAGAAACGACAGAATTTTACCCTTGGGTTCCCGAGGTTTGCCTTACGTCCGCACGCACCCGGAGAATACACAACTTTTCAAAAACGGATACGTGTGGACGAACAAAAACGATAAGCCTTTTCATAGTTTAAGAATCGACTCCACTGCGCATGCGAACTTATCCCGAATTTCTCACTTTCTTTTGTCCAAACCTTCTTTTGTTCTTAATTAAACAAAAGAAGGTGAGAAATTCGGGATGAAATCGCATGCGCAGTGGAATCGATTCTTAAACTATGAAAAGGCTTATTAGGAAACGCGACGTGTGGACGAGTTTTTTTATTATTATTATTAACGGAATCAAGATTTAAAAAACTCATTTTCAAAAATATCCGGATACATGTGAACGGGGTCTTAGACACCTGCAAACATCCAATACTGTCACCGGACCCAACCCATGATTCAAATTGTCCAAGCTGGTTTATTTTTATGAAAGATGTTTTGTTAAAGTTATTTGATGTACGAAAACAATTCAAATAAAAAAAATGAATCAAAATCAACAGTTCTGACCTTGATAACAAAAACAGACTATCGAGATCTTTAATCGGTGCCTAGAATGAGAATGGAAAAGTGCAAAAGAATAAAGCGTGCAATATGGTGATTGCATGAGATTTGTAAGTGCACGTATAGAGAATACAAGAAATGCTCTACTAATGGGGTACTAAGAATGAGAGTAAAAAAGTGTAATGGAAATAATACAAACAAATAAAGTAAATGAGATAAGTTATATATGTATAGGGATAGTGAGCTAGTAGGATGTCAAAAATGTAAAAATGTGCAGTAGATTACTACAGAAGATAAAAGATAGATATCGTACCGTATCCCGTACCTAGAACAATGAAAGTATAGAAAAACACCCTGTACCCTTTACTTTAGTGACCCGAATTGAGAATAATGATTTATACCGAGTAGCGCATCTATAATACGGGTAAATTTACTTGACGATACCCGTGCAGTGACCAATAACACACTCCGTGCCAAATCATACCATGTCTTATGTCGAGTGCTGGAGCAGGCTCGGCCTTAAGAGAACCTAGCCTGGTCAGGAGATTTGGTCACTCTGGGAGGTGAGGTGGTCAAATTTTATTGGCGACTCTGCCAAATCATACCATGTCTTATGTCGGCTCGGCCTTAAGAGGGCCTGGCCTGGTGAGAAGATTTGGTCACTCTGGGGGGTGAGGTGGTCAACCTTTATTGGCGACTCTGCCAAATCATACCATGTCTTATGTCGGCTCGGCC